ACTTTAAAGATCACAGAATGACTTAAGGAGCACTCTAGTCTACCCTATCCCTAGACATGAAGAATGAGCCGGTCAGACCCAATATTCATTCCCAGCCCGATCTAAACTTCTCTTAAGGCTGGCTTGGCCTAAAAATTTTTACGTGCAAACGAGCCGGACTTTTTGGGCCGAGCCCTGATTTTCAAGTTTAGCCCAACCTAAATTTTGGTAATGCCGGCACGTTCCTCATGCCTACATATCCCTGCCGCAGCCTTGTACGACGTTTGTCCTATCCTTGTTTTACCATTACTCACTTCTTTCGCTACTTTGTCTGCTTTTGCTCTGCTCTGCCCTAGCTTTGCCTGACACTTATCACACCCTCGGCCTACTTTTGACCTACCCTTGTTCAGTCCTTGCTCTACACTTATTTTACCCTACCCTACTCTTTTACTACCCTTGCCCTATCCTTGCCTTACCCTTGCTTTACCCTTGCCCTACCTTACCCTTGCCCTACCCTTGCCATACTCTTGCCTTACTCTTGATTCACCTTTGACTTACTCTTATCTTACTCTACTCTATCATACCCTTTTCTATCATATCCTGCCCTAACCTACCCTATCCAACAACATATTGTGTCATAAAACCTTACGCTTATAAAATGGTAATGACCGCCTAGCTCAAATCGGTCCTGCACTGCACTGCCCTTACCTGCTCTACACTACCCTATTATAACCATGCAACACAAAAATGATGTAACCAGACAAAATTCACGTCCCATCCTATTTAAATACTACACAAAAATCCAAATCAGAATCGTATTGAACGTTCTTTGACCTATGTGAAGAGCGTCATAACCCGTCAATTGTAATATTTGTTTAGTTGGGGAAAGCACAAATGTTCGAACATGTAAACATTTCGTGACTCAACCCAAGATTACAAAGCTAGCCGGAAACTGGGCTAACCGGTCAACAAGCTGCCATAAAAAGTAGTTTAATAGACTAATTACGTTGAGATGCGTCACTTATTGGGTGCGATTGACCAGTTTTTATACTACAAAGTATAATATTTTAGTAAGACTAAACCATAGATTTAAAAAGTACAGTATCTATAGACAATAATGGCCTTTTCACAGCTACTACATACAGTAAGCTGACCAAGAACAGAGATTTCTAAATTAATTTTAAAACGAAGCCTACAGCCTTCTCAACTTCAGAAAACAACTTTTAAATTGCGTGAAATTTTGTGGAATGACAATAAAAATAGTTATAAAGATAACTCCTCTAATTACAGAGATAACACAACATACTACATCACATATCAGCTAAAAATTGAATTTAAAAGAACAAAAAACGGCCCATACCAATAATTGAGCGCCATGCCCTAGCCCTAGTAGTAGCTCTGCCCTACCCTACTATTCGCCTTAGCCTTCTTTTAGCTCAGTCAAAGCCCAGAGCTCTAGCCCAGAGCCCTAACCCAGAACCCTAGCCCAGAGCCCTAAGCCTTAGCCCAAAGCCCTAGCACAAAGCCCAAATCCTAACCTTGGCCGAGGAGCTGCGCTATCCCTAAATCCGATCCAAATTTTTGTTTTATCTTATGATTGTCGCGCTTAATTTTGTCTACTTTCTCATAACCCCACCTATCCTAATCCTATTCTTGCCTCTTCTTATCACAGCCCTATCGTTTTTAATCGTAGCCATACCCATGCCCCTTCCTTTCCTTTTCTACTACAAATTCACCATAACCCAATAACAAAAAATAATAAAAATCGAAAAAAAACATCTAACCTCCTTAAAATAATCGAAGTTACTCAACCTTAACTACCCTTACGTACGTCAAAACTTAATAGTAACAAACCGATTAACCAGTTAGTCGATAGTTTAAACTTGAAACGTCAAAAAAAAGCGTTACAAACTTTGCTGCCCGAAATGTGGACGTATGTTGTGATAGTTTTAACCATCTGACGTTACCGATTTAGCAAAAAATTACACTCTTTACGTCACTATTTTAACTACCTTATTTTTTAAATTGAAATTTGTTTCCTAATAAAATTTTAAAAATTTTCCACTTAAACCTGATAGTATTTAAATCAAAATACTTTATTCGACTGATTATAGGAAAAATTGAAAATTTAGGTTTAAAAAGTATTTTCCAAAGTTGTACGCTCAGTCGTTTGTATCTTGCTTGTCCTTGGATTGATTTTATTTCGATTATTTGTTTCTGAGCTTTGCTTCGTTGTTCTTCATAAGCCATTGGTGTTTGTTCTTCACGAGCCTTCTATGGTTCATTCTACAGCTCATTGTTATTGTTCTCCCTTGTCCTGGTCCATCTTCATGCGTGTCCGGGCCCGATCAAGGGATGGCGAGGCAGCAGGTCACCTCGCCATCCAAAACGGTTTCGGCTTCTAAAACTACACACACATACACACACACAACACACACAAATCAAATGCAAAACTTAACCCTAGTAGTAAGATTAACTTACGTACACAGGTTACAGCTTGTCATTTGACGAAAATTAAACGCGAAAAAGTGACAATATAATACACGATAAATTACGTACACGAGTTATAGTTTTTTATTTAAAAAAATGATAGACAAAGCAAAAAAGGGTTGTAAAAGCAAAATTACGTACAAAAGATACAGTTTGTTATTTAAAAATACGATAGACGAAGCAAAAAAGGGTTGTGTTAAAGATAATGTAAAAAGTAAAAGATATAATAAGAGTTAATTTACGTACACAAGCTATAAATTGTTATTTAAAAAACTGTAAAATAGTAAAAATAAACAAGAAATAAATTACGTACACAAGCTACAAATTGTTATTTAATAAAAAAATGTAAAAAATAGTAAGACAGAATAGAAATAATTACGTACAGTAAACTTGTCGCTATCTTAATTAACAAGTTAAATATATTAAAACCGTCTAGTATTTTACACGTACAATTTATTGGCGTTTCTAAACAATACTAACATGTAATATTATTACTGTTGGGGACAAGACTACAATAACATTAATATAAAATATTAAAAGACTCAAAAGAGATACGACTTCTCACGACCCGTCATGTCCTCCCACTGACCTATCTTCTTATCAATGCTGGCCTCTAGTTGGAGGCGGCAGTCTATTACTGTACACAAGTCATGAATTGTTATTTAAAAATTTTTTGTAAAAATTAAAAATATTATAAAAAATTTTTAAATTACGTACAAAAGCTATATCCCAATATAAACAATATGAAATTTATTATAAGAGCTTATTTTTTATCTTCACCATCCCAAAACAACCCAAAAACTTTTGACTGAAAAACACACTTCCGGTCCCCTATTTATATTACTTTTTATCAAGTCTAATTTCTGCGCAAAAAACCCGCACTGATATTCCCCTGTAGCAAATGCAATACGTAAGAGGTCATGTTCGTTTAAACTTCCTTTCATAACACGATCAAAACGCTTTATTACACAAGTTTTTCAAAAGGTAAAATAACAGCAATAATGCCGCCGGTATCGGTAGAAATACAAACTATTGAGATGGTTTATCTTCGAAATATGTTAAAATTTTCTGCGGATTTATAAACGAAGTAAATAGAAGCAAAAAACACAACTCTTCTTTTACCCTACCCTACCCTGCCCTGCCTTACCATATCCTATCCAATCCTATTCTACGCTACCCTACCCTACCCTAGTTAAAGCTTATATTTAGTACTGGTTCTTGTACCCATATCGTATTTACTATACTGTACTAGTCCAGCCCTTTTCTAATTCTCCTCTTGTTGTTAGAGTGGCCTTTATTGTAAGCTAACAAAACGTCAAAAAATATGTAGCCCACAACGTAATTCTCTTTTTACCCTGCCCTATGCCTTACCCTAAGGATTTCCTTCCCTCATTTCCCTGCCTCTACCATGTTCCCAAGTCCATAAACTACCCTATTCTTGTCCATATCCTCAAATTAAAAGAGAGTCCACGATGCCCGGCTTGGTCCCTTCACAAAACTGCCTTAGCTCGCATGAAAAAATAAAAAAAACTAGACTTTAAGATACAATATAGTAATTTACTGTTAAAACAACCATAAAAATAAAAAAAACGCAAAAAAACCTTATAATATTTTCAAAAATTTATTAAAATCTAGTTAAAAAACAAGCTGAGCAAACAATCATTCAATATAGTAATGTAAAAGCAATTGAAAAAAAGAAAAAATTAGTAAAAATCGTTATAAAAGTTACAGTAATCCAAGAAAAATCGTAATATGGAAAGAAAAGAAGAAGAGGGGATTGAGACCCGTTTACAGTATGACTACCAATGTTTAGCATCAAACCATGTAGTAAAAGATAAATAAAATACAAAAACTGTTTAACAGAGCATAGTAAAGTAAATGAGATCGGACAATGACATTTACAACAAAAAAGTATTCATAACAAAAAAAGATGAAACAGAAAATAGCATGATATTGTATAGTACTATTTAATAAAGTGTTTATAGTATTGTAATTGGTACCGTACTAAATAAAGTCGTACTGAGTACAGTGCGAAGCGTTAGCAAACGTACTACAGGACCAAAGTTTAAGATGTACTATAGTGCTGAGTCATACTGTAGTACAGTACTAAATATTAATGTAATACAGTACTAAATACTACCGTACTATCTATACAAAATCCGTAGTACTACCCATACAAAATCCAATACTATTATAAAAGATACTGTAGGTACTATTATCCTCACAGCACTATAACATCAAAATACTGTACCCCAAGATACTGTAAAAATACTGCAGATAACAAAGCTACAGTACCAAAAAATACTCTCTTAACAATTTTACAGTACCAAAAACTTACTACTACTCAAAAATACAGATAGACCAGTACAGACTATAACAATATACATGTATAAGAAAAAGAGTATAACGCGTACTAACCACAAAAGATCAAGACCCGTATTGATGTTGTTGTACTAAGCGCTGAATTCAAGGTTTGTATATCTGAATAGAAACCATATCAAGATAAAGAAATGAAACAATAGTAGGAAAAATCACAAATTAGTAGACTGCCTGGATGGACTAGAACACGAGCTTTGTGCCGGACTATGACTGTTCATGAATCTGTCGCTCAACGGTGTGCCTGGAGCCGTTTTCACTTGAAATAGCAACGAATTTCGATTTTCAGTTTGTTTGATTTGAATATCCGCGCCGAGGCCTAGAATCTGTTCACGTTCGGTTTGTTCCATGGATTCTAGACGGATTCGGTCGCGTTCTTGTTGAGCTTCTAATTCTGCCACTTGGGCCGCTCTTTCTCGTTCGAAACGCATTCGATCGTCTTGGATCTAAAAATTTTTTGAAATTAGTTTTGAATATTTAAAGGCAAAGTTAAATAGAGTAAAAAATAAGGTAGAGAAAGGTAGAGTAAGATAAAGCAGGTTAGGTAGAAAGGAGAGAGTAGTATAGGATAGGATAGAGTATAGGAGTGTCGTGTAGGACAAAGCAAAGCATGGTAAGCTAAGGTAATACATTATGAAGCACAGTAAGGTAGAGCAGGGTAGTGATAGAAGTAGAATTAGAGGTAAGGGTAGGGGTAATGGTAGTGGTCAGGGACGTCGTTTGGGGGGGGGGGGTGGTTCGGGGTGACCGAAAAAAAATCCACAGGTAGGTACCTGTACGCGGAAAAACAAAAAAAAATTTTTTTGAAAAATCGGTCCACAGGTAGCTAGCTACCTGTGGACCAAAAAAAATTTTTTCGACCTCCCCCCCCAGAGAAAAAACCGTAGCGACGTCCCTGGTAGTGGTAATTAAAGTAGGCAGAGTAGTACAAAAAGGTACGGTACAATAATTTTTTTTCGACCTCCCCCCTCCCCCAGAGAAAATCCGTAGCGACGTCCCTGGTAGCGACGCCCCTGATGACAAGGTAGGAGAGAGTAAAGTAAAATAAGGTAGAGTAAGAGTTCCATGTATTCATACAAACCAATAAACCCGAAATGCCATACCTTTTGCATCAACGCCGTCCTTTTTTTGCTCCAGGTTGAATTCAAATTCTCCAGCTCTCTATCACACGATGCTTCCAGACTGACTCGTTGTCGTTCCTGGAATTCCGTCAACAGGTTCATTTCATGTGTGAGTTTGTCGGTGAGAGCGTTGAGTTCCTCTTCCTGACCCGTATCCATTTGAATGTGCTGTTCTGACATCATTTTTCGTATATTCTCTTCGTATTGTACTGCGAGTTGAGCAATTTTTCGGTTTTGTTCTTCTTTTAGTCTAAACAATAAAATTATTGACATCAGAACATTTTTGCTATAGAGTAGTTCATTGTAAAAGAGTAAAGCCCAACAGTTCAGTATATCTTTAAAAATCGCGTATAAGCCTAAAATTTCAAAATAAGCCTGCAAATTTTAAGCCTAAAAACATGGCTTAAACCCGAAAAGCTCATTTTTAGTCAAACGTTTCAATAAAAGCCTAATAAAAACTTATTTTAAGCCTAAAAACTTGAGAACCTGAAATCTAACTTTTAGTCTAACCTCTCAATATAAGCCTAAAAAAACCTAGTTTAAGCCTAAAAACTATTTATAAGTCTAAAAATCTATTTTAGACCCTATACCTGTATCTTAAAAATCCAAGTATTAATCTTAAGCCCAAGAATCACATACAGAACTGAATAACTAATTCTTAGCCCAAAAACCGCCTTCAATAAGCCTAAAAAGCTTCTTTAAACTCTAAAATCGTAACTTAAGAACAAAATATCAAGATTAAACCCATGAATCACATAAAGACCTAAACAGCAACCTTTAAGCCTAAAAAACTCATTATATAAGCCCACAGAACCCTATCCTTCTTACCTATTAACCACCTCCTTCTGTTCGCTCTTCGGTGCATTCTGTTGAACTTGTTGTTGTAGCACCTTGTACTGCCGTGCTTGAACCTTCACCGTATGTCTGAATTGCTTCCGAATCTGTTGTTCTTTCAACTTCAGCTCCCTTGGTAGGTTGCGTTGTCGTACAGCATGTTGTTTCTTTAGTTCGTCCAACGCTCGCTTCGTGTAGTCTTTTTGATTTGTCAGTTCGGATTCATGTTGAACTTTGAGGTGACGTTTCTTCATTTCAGCACATTCTCTGAAGTGTTGTAGAGCTTGATCGTAGGCGGCTTTGTGGTGGTGGAGGAGCATTTGCTCTATTACTTCTAGTTGGCGAGTTCGGACGGAGTGTTCCTGAAGAAGAAAGTAGAGGTTAATATAAGTAAGACACTACTTTGTCTATCTTCCAGTACTCTGTCATAATTTAATATATTATAGCTTACTTCACCTTACCCTACCGTACCCTACAATACCATACTCTACTATACCTTACGCTATCTTACTCTACCCACTGTACCATGCTTTAGTCATACCTCGCTTTACGATGCCCTACACTGTCATACCAAACCCACCCAAACCTTCCTACTCTACACCACGCTATTCCAAACTAAAAATCGCTTACATCAGCCAACAACTTGTGTTCCAGTCCCTGATAATCACTTTGATTCCTATGTCTCAACTCGCTGAGTTCATTTAACATATGAATCTTCTGTTCTGCCACGTATTGCCTTTCGGCCGTCGTCCATTTCTGCATCAAATCAGCCTTCGTGTTTCTAATCGCTTCTTCAAAGCTCGACTTTCGAAGGCCTCGTTCTTTGAATTGCTGAAAAATCAAGTTTTGTAATACAAATCAGTGTAGCACGTAGATAAAGGTTTGAAAATATGCCTTTTTACTTCTAAAACATTAAGATACGCTAGAGAAAGACAACGACATTGTATATACTTCTTTAGCCATTACAAATTCAAAAAGACCCTTTGGCAATCCTCCACAAAATTTTTTTTTGTAAAATACGAAATTAAACATTGAAGTTTTTTTGTAAAAACAGTATTTCAAAAGACAAGAGATATACAATCAATAATGTTAGTAAGACTTTATTCCAGTGTTTCATCAATACCAGAATCAGAAGAAGAATTAATATCAGAAGACGACAATATTGTTGTTAGTGACAGCGAGGCGGTGGATTTAGACAAGAACTCAATGGAACTTGACTAAAAATGGGATACAAATTAAGAAATGCACGTTTTCAAAAAAATTCTCACAATCAAGCTTAGCACACCCATTAAAAAATTTTAACTTTAACCGTTTTAGGTCAGAATCACCTGCCCTGCCTTTTCAAAGGCTCAGCCCGTTTTCATTTTCTCTCAGCGTGGCTTGGAAAAAAATCCAAGACCCAGCCTGATGGCCTTAAAGTTAAGCCCGTCCAAACTGTAGCTCAAGGCCGACCCAATAGTAGGGTTAAACCGGGCCTATACGTCCCGTTTCTCACCCCTAGTAAACAATCCAAAAAAAACACCCAAAAAATCCCAATTTTCAAACCCCTACCCAACCAAAAACCTTTACCTTCTTTGCTTGTTCCTTGTTGAACTTGTACTCTCTCTTCTGGCATTGACTAAAGCTCTTCAACTCGTGTTCATTCGCGTTGATCCTCTGTTTCTTTGCCTTTTTAGCGCTCTCCTCATTCTCTCTGGCCTTTTTCTCTTGCTGATTTTGGTGATTCTGCCTGATTTTTTGCATTTCCTTTTGTGCTGTAATCAAGAATTGTTCGTACTCTTTCTCCTGTTTTTGCCGCACGGCTTCGGCTTCGAATTTGCATCGTTCCTCGAGTTGTTGTTGTTCTTTGTGGTGATATTGTCGCAAGCGTTGATAGCCGTGCATTTGTTCTTTGGCGTTGTTTTCACGTCGAGACTCTTCGATTTCTCGCGATACAACTTTGGTCGGTCGGAGGGTTGAGAATTTGGAGCGACGGAGAGTGTTGATTTCTTCGTTCATGTCTCGGGGCTAAAATAAATATGTTTCAGCATAAAATGACAATAACTTTCTTTACAAACCCAATATAGCAAAAACTTTCTTTATAAAGCCAAAAAAACTTTTTTTTTTATTTTACCTCAATTTGCCTTGAGTTAGCTGAAGAATCGCTTCCAAATCGACCGTTCTGTTCCGTGTCGTTAGTGTCATCCGTTTCTGAAACGCTGATCACTGTGCGGTTCTTGGCTTTAGCTTCACTGTTTTCTGAATCGGCTTCGGCTGAAAACGTCATTTTTAGCTATTTGTAAAAATTTTTAGTCCTACTAACGTAAAACGACATAAAACTTCTTTACAATGAAAAAAATGACAATAACTTTCTTTACAAAGAAAAAAATTACAAAAACTTTCGTTACAAGTTAAAAAATAATATGAACTTTCTTTACAAAACACAAAAATTTAAAAATCCTACCTTCATTGCCATTGATAACAATGTTGCTCTCCGACTCTGAACTCATGCTGCCATGGTTTTGTTCCCTCAGCCGTTTGACACTCGGATTTGGCGTTAGCATAGGATCAGTTTCGTCCTCTTCTGGTACCACAACTACTTCGATTTCATCGTCGATTTGTGGTGCTGTTGGTTGTTTTTTGCGTTTTGGTGCTGTTGAGACAAAACACGACTCTTCTGGGTCGGATTCGTCGTCCGATAACGTTCCTGCTGCTGGAAATGACAAACGTTAATTTTTAATGAAAAGAGTTAAAAGTGAAAATTTCAATTACTGCTTTGTAAAGGAAGTTCTTGCCATTTTACATTTTGTAACAAAAGTTATTGCCATTTTCAAGTCCGTGGAAGCAGAATAAACCCTAGTGTCATAAAAAAAAATTAATCTTCCAAGTTGTTACCTAAAAGCATCCAAAACTAATTAAAAATCTGTCTCTTACCTCCAGAATTGGCTCCTTCCAAATAAAAAATCTTTTTCATTTTCGTGTACATATCACTGTCCAGCTTGAGTACCCGTTTCTTTGTGTGTCTGACCAGTTTCGACATTATCCTCTTGTTTCGCGGCCTTTTGATAAAGGAATGCTGAAAATAGTGCCAAATTGAACTTTATCATCAAAATCTACCTTGACATTTTAATAATATACAACTTGTAGACAAGCCTTTTCCTAGTTTTCAAATACTGTAAAAAAAGTTTTTTCCAAACCACAAAAAAAAACAAAACTTAAGTTAAACACCCTACCTCTTTGCACTGTGCAGCAGTCATTCTGTCATTGGGCTCCTTTTTGAGACATTTTTGAACAAAATCTATCATTTCCAATGATCTTAACACCTCCTTGTACACTGGATGTGTACCAGACAACGTTGGTGGGTCGTTTTGGGCAATGTGGTACAATGCTGACATCGTATTCAAATCGTACAATGGTGGTCTTCTATCAGCTGAAAATACGTTTTATTCTAGAGGTTGTAAAGAATGTTGTTGCAATTTTGAGTATCGTAACAAAAGATCTTGCCATTTTTTGTTTCGTAAAAAAGTTCTTGCGATCTTATTTTTTCGAAAGAAAGTTCCTGCGATTTCAATCGTTTTTAAGAAAGTTTATGTCATTTTCACGATAAAAATCGCAGTCTGCTACCTAAAAACCAAAAATATTTTTAAAAAAGCTTACCCAGTTCAATAACTGTAATACCAAATGACCACAAATCAGCCTGAGTCCCATATTCGCCTTCCTCCATCGCTAATATCACTTCTGGTGCCATCCTGTAACAAAAAATTAAAATTTGTACTATCTAAACTACTTTTTCAGGCTCTGAACCAAAAAGTAACAGCTTTATGTATAAAATAAAATAATTGATCAATATTTCTGTGAATAACTCAAAACCATCATCTTTGTTACCTAAAAACGAAAGCACTAATCAAAAAACCTTAACATACCAATAAGGAGACCCAACAAATGAGTTAGCTGGCGAATGCATCGAAGCCGATCCAACATCTCCCAATTTTACCACGCCATCATCCGTAATCAATATATTCCCGGCTTTTACATCACGATGAATGTATTTGAAGCCGTGAATATACTGCAAGGCTTCCAATGTTTGTTCACAAATCTCAGCGATCGCATCTTCGACCAGTTGGTCTTTGAAGACACCAATAATGTCGGAGGCTGAGCCAATACAATATTCCATCACCATCCAACAAGTGTACTCTTTTATAAAGCAGGCACGGTATTCGACTATGTTTTTGTGTCGTATTGAACGTAGAAAGCGGACCTCTTTTATGATATCTAACCATTTTTCTTGAGCGTCCTTGCCGTTGAAATTCATCTTCTTAATTGCCACTGTTTCATTGTTCTCCTTGTCTTGGGCCTGAAAAGAGTATAGTTGAGCATTCTAAGGCATATAAAATAAAAGAATAAGGCTTATAAAAACAAAAGTAACAACAGAAAGTCTAAATTGCCATGATAACCTCAAATTTCAGCAATAATTTTGTTATCCATGGCCTCAGAGGCTGAAAGCTCAAAATATTCTTCATCCTTTACCTAAAACTATTCATAAAGAACCTTAAAGTTTAGCCAAAACTTTAAGCTATAAAAGCTATACCTCCAAAATTTAAAATTTTTTAAGATACAACAATTATGTTATCCATGACTTTATTGCTAGAAATCTCAACATTTGAATTTCTCTCCCCTTATAAAACTATAAGTTAAAGCTACCTAAAAACGCACTTCCCAGATTTTTAAGGCTCTAAACATAATAAATTTAACAGCTCTACTTAAAAAACAGTACGGCAATCATAACATTCATCTAAAATTGTACTACTTATGCCTTCAGAAATAAAAATCGACAATTCCTTCAAGATGCATCATCCAAATTGTATTGAGAACTTAGCCAACATTCTAAAATCAAAAAACAAAATAAAAAACTTACATAGTAAACACTTCCGAACGAGCCACTTCCAACTTCGCGTAGATCACAATATCTTTGTTCGGGATCTTTGGTGGAGAATAATTGGGCAACCTCGGGGTCTTTCAAGCTGCCCGGCTTCAGCCTCACAGCTGCTGGCATTCTAAAGCCAGCCGATTAGTATGAACTTGGTTCAGTCAGTTTGATAGTCAGTTTTGGCCTGAAATTTGAAAATGTTGTGGATAACATGGTTAATATACAAAAACGCAAAGATATAAAACTCAAAAACAAAAATTAATAAAATATATGATTTAAAATATCAAAAAGATGTTAAAAATTCAAAACACTCTTAAAAATAATTAAAATACAAATTCCAAACAAAGAATTTCAATATTATTCATGACGCTTCATGTTTATGGACAAAAATTTGATTATTCACATTCTTTCAAGTTGAAATATGTGACGGAATTCGACAAGAGATAACAAACGTTGATAAAAGCAGTTTGATAGTAGTTTAGGGCGTGTAAATTAAAGCAAAAACTGCCGATATTATAATAAAAAGTTCGGGTTTTAGCCAAAAATTGGATATTGGTCAATACATCGCAATTTCTAAGTAAATCAAAAGCTACTATAATATAAAACGTAATGTAAAACGTTAAAAATGTTGTAAGGAAGTTAAATCTAAAGAAGTTAGACTATAATAAGTTAAGAAATGGTTAATAAAATTCTTTTTTCGCGAAAAATAGATAAATTAATCGTCCAAAAAACACTTCAGTTCGTCTGGAAAATATGTCATAGAGTAATTTATGGCATTGTGGCTTGTTTTGAAGTAAATAAAATTGAAAAATATTAAAATATATGCTTTTTCATGTTTATAATTTAAAAATTAAACTTTAAAAATAACAAAATTGGTAAAATACGTAACAAAAAACTTTTCTCCCCGAGCAAACTCATTTTAAAGTCTGTACAATATAAATTTGATGGAAAAAAAGAAAAATCGACCACCTGGCGGTGGGAACGGACTAAATGCGACTTTAAGACAATCGAAATTTAAAGTGAAAGAATCTTTAATTCAGCTGGCAAATGATTCATCCCAAGTGGAGGTTAAGATAACATAATATGTGGTTTTGGGCTTCATAATGGTACAAACTTGCCCTTTTTTTGCAAAACATAAAATGACAAGAACTTTCTTTACAAATCTTAAAATGGCAAGAACTTTCTTTACAACTCCAAAAATATCTTTTTTTGGCACGGTGCAATCTATTTCATCGCTTGAACAGTGCTGTCATTTTAGATAGGAAGTAAAATGACAAAAAATTCAAATAAATTGCAAAGCAACTAAAACAATTTGAATATAATAGACATTTAAAATAGTTCTATTGAATACGGTTCTCTTGTAAACAATGCATTGTATGTTTTTCAGTGACTAATGCTGCCAATTAACTCGTCTTGTTCCATCTCTATTATTTTTTTTTTGTTTTCCGCGGGTTTCTAGTCCGTTTTTATAAAAAAATGTCATTCTGTTTATTGAAAAATGCAACAGACGTTTATTTTATTTTGTAAAGAAAGTTCTTGCCGCTTTATTGTTTTGTAAAGAAAGTTTTTGCGGCGTAAAAAAATAATTTTTGGAAGTTGCAGGCTGCGGGCGACAAGTTATACGATGAATGAGAGTTGTTGCATTGTAAAGAAAGTTTTTGCCATTTTTTCATTTGTAAAGAAATTTTTTGCCATTTTATATTTTGTAAAGAAAGTTCTTGCCATTTTATATTTTGTAAAGAAAGTTCTTGCCATTTTATAGTTTGTAAAGAAAGTTCTTGCCATTTTATATTTTGTAAAGAAAGTTCTTGCTATTTTAAACTTTTTAAAGAAAGTTCTTGCCATTTTTATGCCAAAATTTAAAAAAGCCAAACTTTTAAAAATGTGTCATCATGACAGTTCTGTTAATGTCATTCATCCTCCTATCATCCCCAAAACCCCAAAAACCGTTAAAACCACAACTTTATTCGAATCGAAAACAAATTGAGAGTAGCACTTTGGAAGGCTCAAGTTCTTTTTATGATTCCACTTTTCTAAACGAGTCGGATTTCAATAAATTTTTATATTGTAGTAAAAAAGAAGTCTCGCTTCGTTCGCTTTCCATTTTTGGCTAAAAACATTATTGTATTTGCTTTAAAGGGCTATAAACAAGGTTCTTGTTTTTATCATGGTTTTCGGTTTTGAATGGCGGTTTTATGGAAAGAACTTTCTTTACAGACCTCTAAATGACAAGAACTTTTTTTACAAAGCGTAAAATGGCAAAAACTTTCTTTAGAAAACAGAAAATAGCAAGAACATTGTTTACAAGTTTCAAAATGGTAAGAACTTTATTTACAAAAGCTAAAATCGCAAAAACTTTCTTTACCACACATAAAAAGGCCTATAAAAATACGTTACAACCCACTTTTAGGCCTAAAAGCTTTAAATATCATTAAATGTCAATCATCTAAGTCTAGAAAAAATATAAAACAAAGAGCATTTGACCCCCAAAAAAATACGTAAAACCAAATTGTAAGCCCAACACCAGGCTTATAAGCCTAAAAACAATGCAAATCTCGTCCAAAAGCCACAAAACAAAGATAAAAAAATATGAGACATTTAAGCCTAGAAACAAGGTAAAATAATTCAATCTAAAAACAATACGTGAAATAGTCTTATAAACTTAACAACAGGCTTATAAGCCCAAACCCAGCCTTATAAGCCCAAAACCAGCCTTATAAGCACAAAAACAAAGCAAATCCCGTCCAAACCACCCAAAACAAGTCTAAAAAAGTCTTGGAAATCCAAAACAAACCGAAAAAACAGCATGTCTCATGTATAAAGACAAAGTAAACGAATATATTTTGACGACAAAAAAAATAATTTTTGCAGATCCGAGCGGGGCTGGGGTAAAAAAGCGCAAAAGACCAGTCGGTCGAGAGCGTTCGTTTCCGCGCGCTTCGGCAATTTCTCGTTTTTCTCTCGCTTTTCTCGAGAGTGTTGAATTTCGTATACGAATATTATTGTAAGGCGGGACCAATTGTTTGGAGGGGTCAAGTGCAAGGTCGGGTCGTGATTTTAGGGATAAGGTGTGGGGTGAGGAAGGTTGGATAAGACGAGTAATTAGGGGAGGATAATGGATAATTAGGTGCTGGGGTGGCCAGTGGAGCTGGAAAAAGAGACAAAATTTTTAAGGTTTGTAAAGGAAGTTATTACAGTTTTAGGTTGTGCAAAGGTAGTTATTGCGCATGCCTTGCCTTGCCTTGCCTTGACACCCTACCCTACCTAACCTTTATTGTCTTACCTACTACAACATGCCTTATGAAAAAATTTTTCTATCTTACTCAGTGACAAAAACCCCAAAAAGTAGCCTGTCTCGCTACTTTTTACTATAAAATCTGACACATTCGCTTGGTCATTTATCCTACTTTTCAACTGTCAAATATGTATATGCCGACATCGAAAACAAATGTATTAGTCGGGATTTGGGTATGCTGCAGCTGGCTGAGCTTACTTATGGATGGGATAATACGAAAATGGCAAAAACTTTGTTTACACAGGGTAAAATGGCAAGAATCTCCTTTGCAGATCAAAAAATGACAAGAACTTTCTTTACAAAACGTAAAATAGCAAGAACTTTGTTTACAAAACGTCAAATAGCAAGAACTTTTTTTACAAAATATAAAATGGCAAGAACTTTCTTTACAACACTACAAAAAATAAAAAAGTTTTATTACTACAGTATCACAAATACCAAAGTAATAACCAGCTTTCAGGCTTGGAAACAATCGAAAAATGATACAAACGCTTGGTGAGGATGACTAAACCCGAAAAACACCGCCAAAGGGTCGAAAGAGAAAATGTGACTGGGATTTGCATAAATTAGCGAATCCATATGATATTGGTTCCTCTGATTCACATTTTAATAAAATGAAAGTTTGGTATTATACTTTGGTATGTAGTACAAGGTTATAAGCAGCACTGTGAAGGGTAGTAAAGTACAGTATGGTATGAGGATTAAAAAAGATATACAAACCCTTTTCTGTAGGTATAATATAGTAACCCTTAAACATGGCTAAAGCTAGGATAAGATTACTCTTAGACTCCTCAAGAAAGAGCTGACAATACAGCAGAGTCGGGTTAGCGTAATCTTAAAATAGTGCTAAAGATAAAACTAAGCCTAAGTTGGATACGGAAAATAAGATGTAAAACTGTAGGATAAGGTAAAGTAGGGTCAAGACTAGTGCTCAAGCCAGTGATAGAACCAGAGTTAGAAATAGAGCTATAGTTACACCTAGAGCTGGAGCCATAGCCATAGCTAGAGTTACTGCCAGAGTTCGAGGTAGAATCAAAACTAGAGCTAGATCTAGAGCTAGAGCCAGAGCTAGAGCTAAAGCCAAAGCCAAAGCCAGGGCCAGAGCTAGAGCTAGAGCCAGGGCCAGAGCTAGAGCTAGACCTATAGCTAGACCTAGAGCAAGAGCTAGAGCTAGAGCTAGAGCTACAGATACAGCTACAGATACAGCTACAGCTACAGCTACAGCTACAGCTACAGCTACAGCTACAGATACAGCTACAGCTACAGCTAGAGCTAGAGCTAGGATGGAAATACAGTAACAAAATGTAAAACCAAATATAAACCAAATGACAACATCAACAACCTTCAAAAGTAAAATTTTTTGATTAGGTGCGGTCACCTAATTCTTTATATAAAACGTAAAATTTAAACTGACACGCCTACACAAATTCGTCAATTACAATAATTTACAAGTTTCTTGAACATTTCTTATCATTGTTTATAAATTGAACTTCGATAATTGTTAAAAATGACGTGTTCATAAACATTTTTGGCATTTTTATATGTAAAGAAAGTTTTTGTCGTTTTATGTTTTTTAAAGAAAATTCTTGCCATTTTATGCTTTGTAAAGAAAGTTCTTGCCATTCTTTACTTTGTAATAAAAGTTCTTGCTATTTTTTGTTTTGTAAAGAAAGTTCTTGCTATTTTAGGCTAAAGAACACAAAATATACAACAATTTATATTAAAACCCCCTATCATGTAAAAACCCCCTCCTTTGTCAAATAATTTCCTTGCGTAATGTAAAACCCCCTCTCCCCTCTCCACAATGGTTAATTTGGGTATTCAACGACAATAATCACTTCTCGATCCCTTCTCAAAACGTCGCATAAATTCACTTTCGTTCTGCAACCAATTTTCCAGCAGCGAAATCCGCGGAAAATTGTTCAGAATGGGTCTCGTGAATTGAAAAAAAGATCATTCCGAAACGGAATCGCGAAAACATCTTGTGCAACACCCTGTTTTGAACCACGGAAATGATGAATCGCCGGCTTTGCGAAGCTAATGTCTTCATAAGTTTAACAAAGTTGGTAATTAAAGTGGAACCTTGTTGTTAAATACCAAGGTAAATATGAAAAATAGAAGCTATGGAGACTAGAAGACATGACTACAAAATGAGGAGCAGGTCGAGCCGGGCCTGAGCAAAACTTTGATCAAGCCGAGTCTAATAATAGATATGGCAACTAGAGCCTATAAAGAAGGTGCTTGTAGATCTAAAAAAGTGCTCACTAGACCTAATTTGGCGCTAGGGAAATAACCTAGGTAAATTTTAAGGCACAAGGTAATATAGCAAAGCGTAGAAGCTAATGTCTAGAATACAGTAGTCAAAAGAATAATTGATACGATAGAAGCTAATAATAGAGTTGATTATGGTAGAAGTTATAGTTTGTTCTAGGGTAAAAGCTACAATAGAAGTAAAGATAAAGCTAGAAAGAAGAGTTACAGTAAGACCACATACTATAAAGCTAGGATTAAACTAAAACTATGGCTAAGACTGTAGACAGGGCTAAGTCAGAGCTAGAGTTGAAGCTAGGGCTTTGGGATATACAGCTATCACTAGTGTAAAGGTATAGTTGGACTAGAGCTACGGCTAAGGCCACAGCTAGGTTTAGTCTAAAGCTACGGCCAAAAAGATAAGAATAAGACTACAGCTACGGTAGAGCTAAAGCTAGGCTTAGGGCTAGAGCTCAGGTTATGGCTCTGGGCTAAGGCTCTGGGCTAGGGCTTTGGATTAGGACTCTGGGCTAGGGCTTTGGGCTAGGGCTCTGGGCTAGGGCTCTGGGCTAGGACTCTCGGGATAAGGCTCTGGGCTAGGGCTCTGGGCTAGGGCTCTCAGGATAAGGCTCTGGGCTAAGGCTAATGCTGAGGCTAGGCTTTATATAGACACAACTATATTAGTACATTCGAAAAAACCTATTGAAGGGCTTTGAACTGCACTTTGTAGTGAAATAGTTTAAAGCGTTTTGAAAGCAATTTAAAAGGATTGAAAAATAAATGTCAATTAACATGTACATGTAAAATGAAGTTTAACGAAAGGCGGAACTTATCCTTGTAGTACGAAACCAGATATATCTTCCAGAAAAAATAAAGAAGTCGATTTTACAACTATTAAAAGTATGTATAAACCATTAAATTATAGAGAACTAGATAATAAAATAGGCATTTAACACTAAATTACGTTTAAACCTGGCAAAAACCAGCATAATCTAATCAAAAGTAACACTTGACACAAAAGAAAAAGAACACTTGGCTCGCCACGAATATTTCTGAAAAGACGGCAAACCTTTGAATCTGTCGCTCAACTTCAAGAAACGTGCTTGTACTGATGAAAAAATGAAGATAATTTTCTTTGTACTGATCTTTAGTACAATATGCAGTGCCAACTTACTTATTCCGGGTATTATGAAGGAAACTGTGGAGTTACAGGCGAATGCGGTAAGAGTTTTTTAAATATTTTTCTAACTTTTAGGTGTTTCGATGGCGGAAAGTGAGGGATATTATTGGGATTTTGGGCTTGTTTTGAAGGTAAAACACTTGGCAAGGTTTAGAAAAGCATTTCTGTGTTATTCACAAAAGATCCTTTGAGATTTATATTATTTTAGCTATTAAGATAAACTGTTTTTATGTTAGTTTAGGTTTTTGATGTTTTTAAGTCAAGAACAGGTGTTTTTTAAAAGATTTTGGTATTATGTTTAAGTAAAAAGATTTTAGAAGCTGTAGAAATTGCTGTTACGCAATTTTATGCTTCAAAAATACTAATTATATTATTTTAGCAAGAATACGTTGGATTTCTGCAGTCAGCGCTGAAAAACAGTGAAGTTGAGATTCGAGTGCGATGTCAGAAAGAGGAAGATGTTGATTTTACATTGACCTATGTTATTCGAAGTTCTCCATGTGCAAAAGAGTTCTTTGTTGATCGATCTCGATTTAATATTGTCACAAATCTGTTGGTAAGTCTTTATTCAAGTTCTTGTTGGTTTTTAGAGGAAAATGAGTCATGAAAACGTGGAAAAACGCTTGACTTGTACAGTGTTTTGTTGGTTTTAAGGACAAAGGATTGTTTTCAAAGTTATAAAGTTGTTGTTTAGGAGAATGAGGCGTTTTGAAGTTTGAAAAATGGCATCAAAGTCAAAGAAAACATAATTTAAGCCTTATTTTTGATATAATAAAGCTCTTTTTGAATTTGTTTAAATTGTGGACACTTTCTTTTGATTGCGAATACACTGTTAAGCTAGATTTCCTTTGTTGACATACATTAACATAATCTTTTCTAGTCCGAATACTTTAACAATGGCGAATCAGTGGCCGATGGCTACACTTACAAGCAGTTTTATTACTACAAATCAAAGGAATTCAAGTATAATTGTAAAACGCTGAATGGAGCGGACGAAGCTTTGGAAGAAACATCTGTTCATCCTATGATATTCAAGGATTTGTCCAAAAAAGTTTGTTTTTTTTGAAAAGTCAAAGATTAACATGGTCTAGATCAACATGAAATTTGATATTCATGTCTAGGTTTGAACTTTGCTTGAAATTATGGTTTAGGTAAAAAAATCGAAGTTTTTAAAACATTTTCTAAGCTTTTAGGTAACAAAAAATAATTTTTGTTTATTTTTCGGTATCAAATGGCTATTTCTTTATTTTTAGTTAACAACAACACTAATTTTTTTATTTTTAGGTAAACCTAAACTCGACAATCCGAAAAACCAAGCGATCAGTCTACCCAGGCTTGAATGGTGAGACAATTGATGGCGGAGCAAAGAAATCGTTAACGTCATGGCATCCAGCTCAACAATTACCGGTCGATGCCGCCTATTTGTTGATTGTCAGAGTTCAAACTTTGAGTCAGGAGAAGGATCTAACTGCCAAACCAAAAATTGAAGTAGAAGCTCAATGGCGAGGACCTCACGGCTTTCTGAGTGCCATTGATTACCCACTATTGAGTTTCTACGAGTTTATGATCTGGTTCTACTTGATTCTGGCCGTCATTTGGTTTGTGGTCTGTTGTCGGTAGGTTTTTTTGGGTTGGGCAGGTTGCGGAGGACGTTTTGCGATGAAATGTTTTGTAAAGAAAGTTTATGCCATTTTATATTTTTGTAAAGAAAGTTCTTGCGATTTTATGTTTTTTAAAGAAAGTTCTTGCCATTTTAAGCTTTGTAAAGAAATTTCTTGCCAAATTCTTGTTATTGTAATAAATCTTAAAATTCTGAAATTTTCAGACACTACAAAGACCTGCTCAGAATCCAGTACTGTATTGGAGTAGTAATTGTCATCGGCCTCCTAGAAAAGACCTTGTTCTATGCCGAATACAGTAATATGAACGCATACGGACAGTCGAAAGAAGGCCTCATCGAAGCTGCCGAACTCATGTCATGCTTCAAACGCACAGTAGCTCATGTGTTAGTTATCATCGTATCAGTTGGTTATGGAGTTGTGAAGCCAAGGTTGGGATCAACAATGAATCAAGTTGTTTTAACCGGAGGAGCTTACTTCATCTTGTGTAGTATTGAAGGATTGACTAGGGTTTCTATGGTAAGTTTTGGGGATTTGTTAGCTAAATTTAGACCTAAAACCATTGAAAAACCTTATTTTTAGCGAACTACCGAGTCAATGAAAGAGAAACAAGTAGCAAAAGTCCCGCTAGCCTTCCTCGAAGTAGCCATTGCTTGGTGGGTTTTCAGCTCACTTGTCAACACTATGAGAGCCTTGAGAGTACGAAGAAACGAAGTCAAATTGTCATTGTACCGTCAGTTCACAAATGTCCTGGCTTTGGCGATGGGATTTGCTGTGATTTTTATGTTATGGTCATTGTACATTCACATTGTTCAACATTGTATGGAGGATTGGAAGGAGTTGTAGGTTTGGGCGGGGTGATTTTTTTTGGGGGTGGATATTTTTATTGAAAGAAGATTTTTGCAAATTTTGGTTTTTTAATTTAAAATACAAAAAAATGACAGTTTGTTACCTAAAATACTATTTTCAGATGGGTCGACACAGCCTTTTGGCACGTCTTTTTCTGTGTAATCCTGGTGATGATTATGGTTCTCTGGCGACCATCGCAAAACAATCAACGATACGCATTTACCCCATTACTGGACAATTCAGAAGATGAAAACGATGACGCTGATGACGATGTCTTGTTCACGAACACCCAAAACGGATTGTTTGAAGAGGTGAAAATGAGGAATGTCAAGGATAACAAGAGCGACGAAAACAAAAAGAAGTCGAATGTGGCGGTAAGGCTGGGTGGGGCTTGAGGGAGGGCTAAAAATAGACAATTTTGAAGTTTTTTTGAGGGAGATGTGGCATTTTTTGCGTAGAAAAGGGCGTTTTTAGGTATAACATGGCCTTTTTAAACAGAAAGAACCATTTTTAGTCAAAAAATGAAGTTTCTTTACCAAAAAAAATGAAATTTTTCACGAATTTTCAGGACGAACTGGACTGGATCGAAAAGAACATTCCCACGTCGCTGGCCGAAGCCCTCATTGACGACGACGAAGAACGAGAGAAACGCGAGCTCGAAGCCTCGAAAATGCTCTAAATCTCGTCTAATCTTAAGTTAAACTGAACCCCCATTGTGTACATTATGCCGGTTGATCACACATATATTTATAAATACATTAACAATATTAGTTTTGAGGGTTTTGGTAAAATACGGGCAATTCAGTGGTGGATGTTGGGCTTAATAATGAAAAAAACTTTTGTTATAAAACTGAAAAACAAAGTGAAAATAAAAATTTATTACCTAAATTCTTTAAAAATGAAAAAAAAATATTTTTGTTACTTAAAAAACGACCATATATGTAAAAAAAGTTTTATATTAAAGTTTATTGAGGTAAACATAATATATATACATATACATAAATAACCGGGTACATTTTGTTTGTATGTACTGCACATACAAACAGAAAAGTCATTTTTAAATTCATACAATAATGAAAAACTTCTGAATATTAAGCATATTATCTACTACAGATTCCATCGCTCTTCTTCAAGTAAGTACCGTTCTGGGTAGAACGGCACAGCGTCCACGTTAGAATGCGGCATTAATGGGTGTTGCCGTTCCTTCTTGACCGGCCTAGGAACGAAAGGTTTGGCATTGACGTTCCTAGGCGGCTTGACTGGGCTGTCTTCCAAGTCGATCCTCGGCGTTGAAGCCTGACCATACCAGTCTGAAGTTGTGGACCAGGTCGGGTAGCTGCCTAACGTGGCCTTGGTTATGCACGGTGAGCTTCTGGCACTTGACTGACTGTCATAGCCTGAGTCGGTTGGGCTATCTGTTGCTCTTGGGTAGCTAGCCAGTGATGCTGGGTGGCTAGATATCTTTTCAAAATAACTAGCTGATACTTCCATGCAACTAGCGATCTTTTCAAGATAGGCTTCGTTGGCATCTTTATAGGCTGGTTTGGAGTAGGTTTGGATGGGCATCGAGTAGTGTTGAGCTGGGATAACGTTGGCTTGGACAAGGGTGGAGTTGGCTTCGACGGGGCTAAAAGTGGCTTGGGCAGAGGTGGTGTTGGCATTCACCCCTCGAGCCAACTGGTTAGCCAAATAATGAAGCTTGGCCTCAAATGGGGCCTGGGCGGCAAAGGTGGCTTGGCGACGACCTTCAATCAACTGGCTAGCCAAAAATAGGAGTTTGGACTCTTCGGACTGGGTGAAGAAGGCGGATTGGATGTTGCTGAACATTTTTAAAATTTAATTTTAAATTTGGAAAGCGGGGTAAATCTGAAATTTAAGAATTGATTAGATGGGGCAGAGAAGTTAAGCGACGAAATAATTGTAAAATACGTTGGGGATAGCTTCTGAAAGATAAACATATGCTAAAAATGAAACAATTTTTAAACACTAACTTATTATAAGCCCAGACCCTTCAGTCTCAAGCAACCTACCTTTACTGAACTGTTGAGTTGAGTGATCGGAAGTATGCGATCTCACGCTTTATATAGCACCCGATCGGCACAAAATAATATGAACTTTGCTCATGCTATAAACTCGTGCGCAATCTGATATTTTGGCTTTAAGTCGGAAGTATGGTATAATGTAATTAAGCAATATCGACTTTTATTGGCTTTATCTTGTAAAAGTTTTAAAAAAATTGTGCTGATTCGTTGATAATAATTTTTTTACTGCGATTTTATTTTTATATTAGAATTTTAGGTATATATGCGTTTATCAAGTAGGGTAGAAAAGAGTAGGGTAGGGTAACGTAGGGTACAAAGAAATAAGGTAGGGTAAGGTAAGGTAACGTATGATAGGTTAAGGTAGGGAAGGGTAGGTAATGTAAGAAAAGATAGGGTAAGGTGAGACACTATATAGTTACTGTAATGGCTATGCGATGGCTCGTAAAGGGCTGAACTTGTATAGCTGGCAGGGTGGAGTTAGGTACGTTTGAGCCACTGTAAAGTCTAGAAGAGAAGAGCTAGGAAAAGGCTAAACTAGTACAATACAGTACTATATATGGGTACAATTAATTGCATTAGCATTTTTTTAGAATAGGCTTGGTTCAACTTTTTTTTCGAAATTTTTTTTCTCGCCCCTCCCCTCATCTCTCGCGCCCGGCCCTAAGTACAGTACAATACAACAGAGTAGCGTATGGTATGATAAAGTATTGTAAGTTAGAATAAAGCTTTTATTGTTACCTTTATCTTTTGATTTGCTTATAACTAGTGTTTACTGTATTTGAGTTATAAATTATAACTTGTAAGTTTCTCATGATGTCATTTTTTAATCGTAACACTATAAACCACAAGCTTATAATATTATATTAACACTGCTTTCATCCGTTTTTTTCATAAAAAATTTACCGGAAGCCCTCGATCCTCCGCCGACAACAGGTGTGCCGTTTTCGGTAAAGTGGAAACACAATAAGAAAGGAGAGTAATTTACTGCGAATGAGATTTATAGAATTATATTTTTTGCGTTTTTTACTGTTCGTGTAAGGTCAAGGCTTGGAGAGGGGTTCTAACACGGTGGGCTTATTAGGTAATCGAGCCTAGTTTTATTTGAGTTTTGGAGGAAAACATTCTTGGGTTGGGATAGAGTAGACTAGACATGAGGAGCAAGCCCGACCTGAATGTTAGGCTTGGCTCAATTTAAATTTTTTTAAAGATGGTTTAGGCCAAAATTTTTTACGTGGAAACGGGCTGGGCTTTCATTTTCAGGACCGGCCCGACTTAAATTTGAGTCAAGGTCGGCCCGGTCGACGGTAGGCCCGGCCCGATGGTAGGCATTTCTAGAGTAAATCTGTAAAGAGGTCGGGCATTGTGGGCTTAACACCTTTAAAAGGGCCGGGTCTAGTGAGTTATTGTTTAGGGATAGAGTAGTATGGTAGTGTAAGGTCTTGAGAATGTAATAGAGGCAAGAGATGGGGTATGACAAGGTTTAAAGTAAGAAGTAGGGTAGGATAAGAACAGAACTACGGTATGGGCTATATCTTTCTTATTATTATATCTTACAGTCAAGGTTTCCCTGTCGGCTAGAGGATGACTAGGAAAAGGCTGATATGTACAGTATAGTACTCTTTATACGTGTACAAATACTGGTATTATACTGTAAATTATAGTTAGAATAGAGCAGAACACGGTCTTCATAATATGTTAAAGGCAGGCTAATAAGCTAGAGATTGAAGTAAAATAAAGCAACTCTGTAAGAAGTAGAGTAAGGTAAGAAAGGGTAATGTACGGCAGGACAAGACAAGACAAGGAGTAGAGCAATGGAGGGAATGATGAAGTACGGTAAGGTAAAGCAAAACAAGAAAAAGCAAAGTAGACAATACAGTGCAGGGTAGAGTAGGGTAGGGTAAGTTAGCGTAGGGTATGATACCCAGGACAAAGCATGTATATATTTAAATGAAATGTTAATACGATCCCCTCCCCCTATATTAAGCTGATCGGTGTTCGTTTGCATTTCCGCCCGCGCTTAGTTTTGGGCACTTGAACGCGTGCGAATATTCTGATTCAAGGTTTATTTGTTCACTCATCAACTCAAAAGTGTCCGTCACACAAAAAAAAAGAAAGAGATTTGAAAATCCGATGGTATTAAAGTGCGACTCATGCCTAATTAAGGACCATCGGGGTTAACTGGGGAGGGTATTGAGCGCGAGGGAGAGGGGGGGGGGGGGGATGAATAAGTTTTTGAGTCAACATTATGGCATTTGTTGAAGGGTGGGGTAAAATGCGGATAAGTTTTTAACGGTTTTGAAAGTTTTTTTTTAAATTTGGCTTTTGCGGATTACTGTAGTTTTTTCAGTGTGAGATAAAGATAGGGGTGGTAAAAACAATGATTTTGAAAGGCGGGGGGGGGGCGATGGGCTTGAGTATTATTTTTTTGTACATTTGTAAGAGGGTCAATTTTTTTCTGAAGGTGGTGATCATACTCTGCCCTGAGGCCTTACGTAAACCAGGGTAAACTGCCCTTATTTACTTAAAAATCAACCCTAGTATGTTTGAGCAATGTGAAATGACATTTGATTTCTCATGATTCAAACCCATTCACATACCCAATAATGACCCTGTTCTGTGAGGGCGGATTATTCATTCTCACCTGGCCACAAATGGCTGAGCGCGAAATTTGATCAGGATTAGGTGGACGAACATTATGTTATAATAACATATTTGGGGCATGTTTTTTGAGGTAAATTTGGGGTTATGGTTGTGGGTTGAAAATACTATTTTTAAAAATTAAATATCGAACTAGAGTTAGACCTGAAGAACGGGTCGGGCCTGAATGTTAAGCTTGGCTTGATCTGAATTTTGCTAAAGTCTGGCCGGGTCGAATTTTTTTTTGTAGAAACGGGTTGGTACTTCATTTTCAGGCCCGGCCCGACCTAAATTTGAGTCAAGGCCGGCCCGGCTCGTTCCTCATGTCTAACTGGGATAGATGGACATTAGGGCAAGATCAAGTAAGGGCTAGGACTAGATCTAGTGATAGGGCTAACGCTTAGGTTGGGTCTGGAGGGGGGGGGGAAGTCGCTCCGGACTACCACCCCCCCCTCTATTGCTTACTGAAGATACTTTATTTACTTTCACTTATTACTTTCGGCGAAAAAAATGATGATCAAGTTAGTTGTGTTCTTGTAATAACTGACGTATGTAGATGCTAAATCAAGCGACAACTAAGAGAAAGAAGGGTCTTTTGTAGAAATTAATATATAACTTAGTATTGTTGTTTTACGTTGTCATTTAAGGACTTGTAAACTATTATTATTATATTCATGCGTTGATTTGTACTTTTGAATTTACAATATTGAACATGTAGTATAATTTTTAAAATGAAAATATTTTTTTTTGGATTTACAGAGTATTTATTGAAGTATGAACGAATGTAAAGGTAATACGTTGATCATTTGATTAGAAGTTCAACCTTACCATATTCACTATGGTTAAATGTAACATAGGTTTTTTAATTTTTTGGGTTCACTTACGTTTTGCTGTATCTTCGTTTGAAGAGCGAACGCATCGATTTGAGGTCTTGGAAGGTAAGTTTTATACTAAACAGTTAACCTGGGAAGGCAAAGACTAGAGGTTAGGTTATAGCTAGGGGTTAGGTTAAAGTTTAGGCTATAACTTAGGCTATGGTTTCTGCTATGGCTTAAGCTATGGCTTAGGCTATGGCTTAAGTTACGGCTTAGGCTATCGCTTAGGCTATGGCTTAGGTTAAAGTTTAGATTAGGACTATAAGGTAAATTTGTTTTTTGTTAAAATAAACCTTTTTAGAGCAAACCCCTCCAATTTTCGTTGGTAACATTGCTTTATCTTCAAACAAAACCTATCGTGTATCAGCTTCTGCTGAAGTCAGATGCCTTCTTAATATTGATTTGAAAACTGGTGATATAATAACTAACGTTGTTATTGATAGAGAAAGCTTGTTGGATGGAGATGTCTTGAAATTAAAATTGATTGATGAAACTTCAACTCGAATTGAACTTGTTGAAGTTTTGGTTTTGGATATCAATGACAATTCACCTGATTTTGGAATTGATGAAAAGGTAAGGTGATTTTGAATTAAGGTAGGGTGAAGTAGGATAGGGTACAATAGGGTACGGTAATATAGGGTATGATGTTTAATTTTCGTCCAACCGTTTTTTCAGGTTTTCGAAGTCTCCGAAGCGGCGACAGTGGGTTCAAAGTTAATGTTACCATTAGCTGTGGATAAAGATGCTGGTAAAAATGGCACGATAGTCGAATATGGTCTACTTTCGAATTTTACAAACTTTAAAATAGTGAATACGGAAGAAACGTTGTATTTGACGTTGATGGAAGGTTTGGATCGAGAAGCTGTAGATAAATATACTGTCACCGTTCATGCTAAAGATGGTGGTTTGCCTCAACGGTAAGGTTTAAAAAAATTGGTGTATATGGCTATTAGGCTTGTAAAAAGGCGTAAGCTAATTTTTTGAAACCTTAGTCTAGGTTTTGGTCCCTCCCTTACGTGTGACGACTCGACCCGGACTAGACATGGGAAACCGGCCAAGCCAGGCTTGAGCAAAAGGTCGGGCCAGGCCTGAAATCCCAAAAAATGTTGGCCTGGTCCAAAAAGCCCGAAAAAGTCTGTTCCGTTTGCACGTAAAAAGTTTGGGCCGAGCCGGACCTGAACAAAAGATCGGGCCGGGCCTAAAAAGTGGCCCTGGCTCGTTTTCCATCTCTAGCCCGGACCTTTTTACAATTGTTGAGGCCTGACCGGCTCCTTTATATAAAGTTACTTTTAAGTAAATAGCTTTAAGATCAGATTTGTTTTACACTTTTGAAAGTCAAATCTTCCGTTGCGGGACCTAAGTTGAGCTCCTGCGGCTTTGGATTGAGAACTTCTTCTTTTTGCTTACATGTGTTAACCCGGCTTGGTCTTTTTTAAAGTTGCTTTGACAAAGGGTGTCCTAAGCAGAGTTCAAGTCAGTCTACAGCCGGGCCGAGCATAGTTATTAATTTTTTTTATTAAAAAATTGATTTTAAAAAAATTTTTTTGAATTTACCGTAAGCACAAGCGTATTTTACAGAACAAACATCCTACCGATAACAGTTCATGTTGTTGATGTGAACGACAATGCTCCGATTTTCGACCAAGTTTTGTATGAGTTTACTTTGCCAGGCAATATTAGTACTGACCATGAGTACATCGTTGGTCAAGTAAAAGCTATTGATAAAGATATTGGAAGAAATGGAAATATATCTTATTTTATATTTAATGGTAACAAGAATGGAGTTAAAATTAATGAAAATACTGGACAAATCTTTGTTGAGGTAAGGGCTGTGGGCTTATTATGCTTAGATTGCTGGTAGCATTTTTTTTTAATTTCATTATTTTAGGTATCAAATTTTGAAGGTAAAGACACTGAACTTACTGTAGAGGCCGTGGATCATGGCATAGTGCCATTGAAAAGTCAGTCTTTGGTTAAAATACATTGTGATAACTCAAAGTTAGCCACGATGCCTAAAATTAATATACGGTAAGTGGTAAATTACAGTAAACTTTTTGCTAAGCAAATTTTTTTTTAATTAAAATTTCAAAAAATTTAAAATTTAAATTAAAATTTTAAAAAATTTTAGATTTTTCAATTTTAGAACTTACCCACCAGGTCAAAACTACTCTGTAGTTTCACAAGACGCTTCGCATGGTGTCACAGTAGCTGTTCTTACGTTCGGTAATTTAAAACCGTCTAATGTTGGCGTCATAGGTCACACCAACATATTTTACATAGAAAACGGAAGTGATTATGCCATTTTGAGAGTCAAAAACATGAGTTTGGCCGTTCTACAGAAGGCTTATGAAATGGAGATAGTAGCTGATTTTGAAGGTGTAAAGATTAGTAGGAATCTTACTGTAAGTTTTTTTTATTTCTTTTTGTTTTAGCGTAAATCCCTAGCCATGGTCTTAGCTCAATGCCTTAGCCCAGAGAACTAACCCAGAGCCCTAGCCCAGAGCCCTAGACTAGAGCCCTAGCCCAGAGCCCTAGCCCAAAGCCCTAGCTTAGAGCCTAGCCGGGAGACTTTTCCCTAGTTCTAGCCTAGAGCCTTAGCCTTAACTTTAGCCTGCTTTTACCTACCGTACCTATATCTATTGTACCCTTACTCAGTGTAGCTTTAATTACTGTATTTTTAACTACTGTAGCCTTACGTACTGTACCTTTGCTCGTCGTAATTTTTTTTACCTGTTGCACTCTTACCTGTATTCTTATTTACCGTATCTTTGCCTACCGTAATGTATAGCTGATTTTTTCTATTCTGGATTTGTCTTAACTTTTACCGTAATGCCCTATTCTTACTTTACTTCTATTGCTACAATTTATTTTACTTTTGTAGGTATACATCCTAGACAAGTTTGACTCACCACCAAGAATCCTTCAACAAAATCAAACTATCTTCATTCGAAATCGACCGGTCATAAACCAAGAGTTAGCTTTAATTACCGTACAGCCTTCTGCATCTGATTACAATTTTGAATTACTGAATTACAATAATGAATTCAAGGTTGACTCTGTAATTGGCGTGGTGTATCTTAAAAGTAACAATTTGACAAAATCTCGGTACGAGTTAAAGATTAAAGTCAAGAATCCAGTACCATCGTTCCAATGCTCATTTGCTTATGTTATTGTCAATGTGAATAGAAGTGGGTATGATGAAGTGGAGTTTGGAAAGAAAGTTTTTGTTTTTGAGGTAAGATTGGTATTGATTAACATATTTTATTACAGAAGGAGGGGGGGGAGAAAGGTGATAGGTGTAGAGAAGAGAGAGGGAAGGGGGATGACAGGGGTAGGAGGGGTTGGCACGGCACCCTGAACCAATAGAAATGAAAAGCATTCCTTTTTTGACATTTCGCCGCGCCACGGTTGATTTTTTAGGAAAAAAAATACCGAAATTGTAAAAACATTTTTATGAATGGAATATGAGATAAAAAATATAGTATATTTATTAAATATGCGTTCTGCTCGTTTTCGAATTGACCGTTCTTCATTCCATATAAATTCTGATTGATCTGAGGATGAAGAATATCAACATCCAATTCCTTACAAATTTTAATTTACAACATCCTGAATTTACACATGCTGCATCAGTAAAAAATTACGATTAAAATAGTACCAAAAACGTCTATTTAAATGAAATACTTTGTCACATTGAAAAGCTTGCTTTCCGATATTATAGTAGACCATCTGATCATTTTTGTTTTAAAAAAACTTTTATACTTTCCCTTTCGATATATAGTCAAACCTTTTATTAAAAATTAACATTTCTGTTATGATCTTGCTAAATCAAACCTAAAACGTGAGAAAACAATATAAAATACTTACCAAGGATCCGCCAAACTCTATCTCTAATATAAAACATCTAACAAAGTATTATACGGTCAAATTAGCTAAATCAACATGTTTGACTGCGTAATAATTTGATAACCGTTTCTGACATAAATAGTTTTTGCCACATTTTGCACAAAATAGTAGAATAAGTTTCGACATTAGACGAAAAACCGACCGAAAAATAAAAAAACACCGGAAAACGAAATGAAACAAATTATCGGAAAAGGGATCGATAACGATTCTCTATTTTGACTGAGCGTTCGGTTCAGGGTGCCGTGGTTGGGGGTGATAAACTGGTCAGGCTCACTTTGAAGGCCCAGCCAGGCCGAAGGCCCAAGATTAAGGTTGAACCTGTTTTATTTTTAAAACCAAGATGGCCCGGTTCGACCTGAATTTTTTTACGTGCAAACAGGTCGGGCTTTTTCATGGCGGGCCTGACTTGATTTTCAAGCCCGGCTTGACTTAAATTTATTTAGCTCAAGGCTAGCCCGGCTCGTTTTTCTCCCCTAGTAGGCGATGAAGAAAGAATAGAGGAGAAAAGAGATGGTTCAGGCCTTGTAGATAACTACAATATCAGATTTGGTCCATACTTTTCGCAAGTCAAATGATTTGTTGCGGGACCTAAACTGAGCATTTGATACCTTTATATCGGCTTGGTTCTGAGGCCTTTAAGACCTAGCTCAACCCGGTTTTTTTTATTTTTGTTTGTTGTAGCTTGCCTCGGCCCGGAGCCAACCTTAGTTTATAAAACTGATTTTTTTACAAACTGCGACTCAATAACGTACTTTACAACAAATTTTGACGAAACTTATTCTTTACAGACTCCAGAAGACACTCCAGTATCACTTCCAATTGGAAAAATTGATTTAAAATTGGATTCTTCAAGGCTTGTGGAACATTTTTCAATTTTAATCAAAGAAGAAGATGATGGAGATGAATTCAGAATAGAAGATGGCTTATTATACTCTAAAGTAAACTTGGATTATGAAGAAAAAGAGTTTTATTTGTTTGAACTTGAATTGGTGAACACGATGACGAAAGAAGTTGTGGATAGGGCTAAAGTCATGGTTATTGTTAGTGTAAGTGCTTTTTAGTTTTTGAAAAAAAAATTGTTTTGATTTTTAAAGTTTTAAGGACAGAGTACTAGTTAGGGCCTATCAGTTATAAGAATTTGTAAGAATACATAATTAAATAGCTACACTTTTCGCAAATAAAATCTTTCGTTGCGGAACCTGAGCTAGAACTTTTTAGTTTGATTTAGCCTCTGGCCTAGTAGTCTTGATTTAGCCTCTGGCCTTTGGGCCCACATATACCGGCCCGGTCTTGCATTTTTATTTATTATAAAATTGCTTATGCTTTAGGCTTAGAACTAAGAGTGTAGGGCTTTTCTCCTAGGCCGTACGGTAGGATAGGGTAGGGTAAGGTAGGGTAGGGTAGGATAAAATAGGGTAGGGTAGGATAGGGTATGGTAGGGTATGGTAGGGTAGGGTAGGGTAGGGTAGGGTAGGGTAGGGTAGGGTAAGGTAGGGTAGGGTAGGGTAGGGTAGGGTAGGGTAGGGTAGGGTAGGGTAGGGTAAGGTAGGGTAGGGTAGGGTAGGGTAGGGTAGGGTAGGGTAGGGTAGGGTAGGTTTTTAAGCTTTTTTTCTGTTTTAGGACGTCAATGACAATACTCCTTACTTCCACGAACAAACCGCTCATCTAGCCTTATCTATCAATGATGCATTGCCACGTGAAATCTACACATTCAAAGCTCATGACAATGACAAATATGACACTTTGGACTACGTACTCCTTGATGCACCAGTCGAAAACTTTGATTTAAAATCTTTGAATGAAGGCATTTTGATTTTAAAATCAGTGAAAAACTTTCAAAATATTGAAAAAATTGTAATCGGAGCCAAAGACAAGGTTGGACATGAAAGTAGCAACAATTTGACAGTTTTTATTCATTGGATTGGGGATTCCAAGCTAGTTCCAAAATTTCTGGATGAAGTTAGAGTGTTTGGAGTTGAGGAGAACGAGAGAGCCGACTTTTATTTGGGCAAGATTGATGTTGGACTGAAGGTAGGTTATAATAATATGGGTGATAAAGAATGAAGTTTTATTAGGCTTTACCATGATGTTAGGTCTCAAGATTTTGTATGAGGCTCTTTATTAGTACTGTTTAATACTAAATAGTACTGGATTTTAAAAAATCTCGTTTTAAACTTGAGCAGTACTATATAGCACCAAGCTGTATAATTTTTTTATTTTTTTTGTTTCATGGTTTATTTTTTGTTTTATGGTATTATTTAGTACTAAATTCGTTTTTTATAATACTAAATAGTACTAAGCTGAAAAACTCAAAACTTTGAAATTTTATGTTTTTCAGTACTAGATAGTACTGAAACATAAATCTTGTTTTCTGTACTTTTTGATACTCAGTAGGACTATATAGTACGGAATTTTATTCTTATTCGATGCCACAAACCACAAAAGTTTACATCTTTAAATTTCACGTGCTGTTTAGCACTATTAAGCTGTCTTAAATCTTTTTAATTTTTTTTGTGTTCTAGTACTATTTAAGACCATCAACGTACTAAAAAATTTTCATATTTTTTATTTTTTCAAATTCAGTGCTATATAGCACAAAATCCCAGTACTACATATATACGAACCAAAACTAGTTTTCAGCCGTAAAATGTCATTTTCAGAACCTCAACTTTACAATAATCGACCAAAACATGGATAATATTAGAATCGACGCCTCCGGTAATCTATACACAAAGTCAGTCTTTGACTACGAATTGACCAAAGACCTGCCATTTGTAGTGCTAATTCAATCACCTGACTTTACAGTAACTCAACGATTTCTTTTACTGATATTCGATATCAATGACAATGCTCCAAATTTTAAAAATTCGACTAAAATAATCGAAATCGACCGAAAATATCCGAAATTGGCTCCGATTGGAAAAACGACCGCTTATGACAAGGATTCTAATAGTAGTACTGTATACTACAGTAAAAGCGAATTTGGTACTATTGATGGTACTAATGGACTTATTTGGATCAACGAGAAGAAGATTGGTGATGTAAATGAAGTTGATTTTAGTGTAACAGCTGAAGATAGTGATGATGCTGGGCTGGGTGAAGTACAAAATGTCAAGGTGATAAGGAGAAACAAGGTTACTGTAAGTTTTTGAGAATTTTGCATATTTTTTGTTTTTTAAAAAAAGTTCTTGCCGTTTTAAGTTTTGTAAAGAAAGTTTTTACTATTTTGAGTTTTGTAAAGAAAGTTATTTCTATTTTATTTTTTGTAGACAAAGTTCTTTCAGTCCCTTACCATCAAGCCAAAGTACTCAATATTATTGTCATCAGAAGCAAAGAAGGCATCATTATTATTAGACTTGAATCCACAAAACAAAGGTCGTATTATCACTGAAATGACAACACAAACAGACAATTTCATTCTGAGTTCTGATGGAAAATTAAGGCTGAAAAAACTGCCAAAAGAAGATACAATGACTTTACTTACTGTTAGAGTTACTGATGTGTTGTTGAATGAGAGGTTTAATACTGTAGTTGAAGTTTATATTGAGGTGAGGTTTTTTACGTTATATTTAGATATATATATTTTATAGGTAAAATTGTAGTGTAGTTTTAATACGATAGCTTACTTAAAGTTACAGTAAATCGAGAAGAAATAGGTATAAAGGTAAATGAATGTAGGGCAGAGTAAAGTCAGACAGGGCAAATTAGGACAAAGTAACGTAGCGTAAGGCATAATAGGGTATGGCAAGGCACCATAGAGCAATGCAAAGTAACGCTTGACATAGTAGAACAAAGCAGGGTAGAGTAAGGTAAAGCAAGACAAGATAAAAGAGAGCAACGAAAGGCAAGATAGGGCAGTGTAAAACACGACAGTGTTAGGCAGAACAGGTTGTAATGTAAAACAAGGTAAATTAGTGCCGGGTAGAGTAGGACAGCATGGGTATGATAGGGTAAGGTGGAACAGTAAAGAGTATAATAAGATAAGGTAAGACAGCATAGTTTATGATAAGATACGGTAGGACAGCATAGGGTATGGGAGGGTAGGGTAGGGAATAAAGAAGGAAAGCCTATTAAAATTATTTTTAGCTCAAAGATGACGTTGTTTTGAAATGTTCCGAACGGCCGATAACGTTAGAAACAAATGATATTACACATGAAACTAAAGTAAAACTTTCTGATGAATTAACTGATAATAAAATGGTAAAATACGGATTCTTCAACAATTTCCTACTGCTGGAAGAACATGGAAGCGTAAGTCTTATTGTTAATTTAAAAAGTCATTTTTAAACACAATAGTTTTACGAAAAGTACCTTTTATACCAGCCGTTTTAATAGGTGGTTCACTTAATAATGTGCTCTCCAACACAATATACAAAAGCATAAAAAATTATTTAAGTTTTCAATTTTAGGTAACATTTTTGGAAATTCCAACCTCTGGAAAATATAACTATAGTATGACAAGTTTATATGATAATGCTCAAACTATTAACTGTACTATGACCATTATTTCTGAACCAAAACCTGTACCTTATTCATTATCTACTTTTAATGTGGTAAAATCTCAAGTAATAGCATATAATTGGTCTGATATTGACTATGAAGTACCAAATTGTCGTGAAATGTGTGGTAGTACTGAAGCATCATTGAATAGTACTAGTGGTACTGTAAATTATGTTAGGTCTACTTACTCTACATCATCTACAGTATTTCAAAATTCAATATTTTTACATTTTTCTGAAGACACATCAACTGGTACTGTTATTGGTACACTTTTTACTCGTGATCTTGATGGTAGGGTCCTTAGACCTTTAATACCTTCTGAAGTCAGTGAAACTACCGTACAGCGTTTTGAAGTTAATACAAATACTGTAGAGCCTTCTGAAGCCCGTAAAACTACCGTAGATTCTTCTGAGACCAGTAGAAACAAGATCTCAGCAGTAACAGTTAAACAAGACCCATACAATTACTCAACCTACTTCAATATCACTCAAAATGGTACGATAATTCTATATCGACCAGTCGATGCAGATGAAAATTCATTTTTTGTTTTTGATTTGAATGTGACGTATGATAACGATGACGTTAATATTGAAGGAAGTTATAGAACAGAAGGTGTGAAGCTATTTATATTTGTGGATGATGTCAATGCCAATTCAGTAAAGTTTAAATATGACACAGTAAAAAGAATTGAGGTTGAAGAAAGAAGTAAAGTTGGAGAAGTGATATATGAGTTTGAAGTTGAAGATAACGATTTTGGTAAGACTTTACTATTATTTATTCCCTACCCTACCCTACCCTACCCTACCCTACCCTACCCCACCCTACCCTACCCTGCCCTACCCCACCCTACCCTACCCTACCCTACCCTACCCTACCCTACCCTACCCTACCCTACCCTACCCTACCCTACCCTACCCTACCCTACCCTACCCTACCCTACCCTACCCTATCCTACCCTACCCTACCTACCCTACCTACCCTACCCTACCCTACCCTACCTACCTACCCTACCTTATCCTGCCCTACCCTACCCTACCCTACTCTACCCTACCCTTTTTGCACTATTCTATCGTACCCTACCTTGATTTATTCAGCCTTTATTTACCTTTCCTTACTCTACTTCACCTAACTTTGCCCTGTTTTGTCCTACTATGTCTAAAGCTACCTTACTCTGCTTTACTGCTTTGCCTTTGCCTACTTTACTTTATCTTGGCTTGTCTTATTCCAATGTGCTATCCCCAGTTTGCCCTCTAATACCTAACCTCGCTCTATGTTATCAACTGGTCATTTCAGATTCAACTTTTTTCTTTACAATCCACCCCTTATCTGATCCAAACAACACTTTTGAAATCAAAAATGGTCATCTGTATCTACATTCGCCTCTAAATTATCACAAAGAAGTATTCTACAACTTGTCAATTAGAGTTTGCGATGACTGTAACAAGAATTGTGACTATACTAACTTAGAAATCATAGTAATTCCGAACGATATCAACTTGAATTTGCAAAATGAAGATCTGATTCAACAATTTTTCGTTACTGAAAACGCAAAAATTGGCCACAAAATAGGACGTATAGCTATCGGGAACGTATTTTACAATCATCAAGACAATCTTAATTTATCAACCGGTCGATCTAACAATAACACTATACGGTCCAGCGACAATACTAAACATTACGGTAACAAAAGACAGATTACAGTATTTGAAGTAGTCGATTATGGTAATTCAGCCAATTATTTGTACCTAAACCCAGTTACTGGTGACATCTTGGTCAATAATCTGGTCGATTTTGAACAAATTCAGCTGATCTATCTGAATGTTTGTGTGAAGATGGTTGGAAGTAATGTTAGTGAAGTACATTTGACTATTATTGTCAATGTCGTTGATATTGATGACAACAATTTTGAGGTAAGTTTTTAAAATTTTAAAATTTTCAAAAAGCTAGGGCGGGCAGTGCAAGGAAATACAAGATAGTATTAAGTGGGACAGGTTAGGGTAAAATAGAATAGAATAAGGAAGGGTAGAGAAGCGAAGGGAAAGGAAGGGTAGGATAAGGCAAGTAGGCCGGGAAAGGGCAGGTTAAGGTAAGACAATGTAAAATAAGATAAGATAAGATAGTGTCAGGTAGGTTACGGTAGGGTAAATTAGAGTAGGATAGGATTTGGGTAGAGTCGGGCTTCGGTAGGGTAGGGTAGGGGAGGGTAGGGGAGGGTAGGGTAGAGTAGGGTAGGGTAGGGTAGGGTAGGGTAGGGTAGGGTAGGGTAAGGTAGGGTAGGGTAGGGTAGGGTAGGGTAGGGTAGGGTAGGGTAGGGTAGGGTAGGGTAGGGTAGGGTAGGGTAGGGTATATGATTATTTGAGAGCGTTATTACCTAAAGTATGTATTTTTAGGTAACATTCCCACACCACCCAATAAACCTATTTGAAGATGTTAAAATAGGCACTTTTGTAACAATCCTTAACATATCTGACGCTGATTCAAGCTTTAATTCAAAAGTTTTTTGCAAGATTACTTCAGGCAATGATCAAAAACAATTCAAACTTGATCATTCTACCAATATCATTACAGTGAATAGACCATTGGACTACGAAAGTACTAAAGAGTACAACTTGGGTATATCTTGTAAAGATTACCACGGTAGTTGGAAGGATAAGCATGGGTAAGTAAAACAGTTTTTGCAAGTTAACAAATTATGAATTTTTTAGGTCAATAAGAATCAAGATATTTGATGTAAACGACGAACCACCAGTATTCGTGCGTGGAAACAAAATTTATATTGAAGTTATGGAGACAACAGTGCTTGATGAACCTAAATTTATTGACTTTATTCAAGCTAAAGACATCGAGGAGGTAAAGCACGGCTTAATAGAATGCTGTATTATATAAAGATAAATCTAGAATGATATTTAGAAAAAATTTATGATCAGATATGGTAATTAAAAAAAAGCTAGGGCAGAGGATAAATATAGCAAGAGAAGGTTAATGATAAGACAATTTTAGGGTGAGGATAAGATAAGGGTAAGACAAACTTACAAAAATTTTACGGCAATTGCAAGATAAGGGTATCCCAAAGATAAAACAAGAAAAAGGCTTGGGTATAGTTAGGGTAAAATTAAAGCATGGGCAAAGCAACCGTAAGGCTAGGGTAAAGGAAGAGAAATACTATAGTAAAAAATTAATAAGACAATGTTAGACAAGTGTAAGGAAGGTATAAGGCTAGATTAAAGCAAGATAAGGACGAAGATAAAACATGTATTTATAAGACAAGAGTAAAGTATAAGGCAAGGGTAACGCTTTTGAAGAGCAAGAGTGGGCATGAATAGGGCAAGAGCGGAGCATGAGAAAGGCAATCGTAAGGCTAGGGTAAAGTAAGAGTAGAGAATGGGTGACACAAGAGCAAGAAAAGATTAGTGTACCGTTAAAGAAAAATTAAAGCAAGAAAGCTGGCAAATATTCCGATTAAATATTCGGATAAAACAATATAAAAAGGAACTGAGATAGATAAGGACTGATCGAGATTAAGGCTTTGAGAGAAGGAGCCCCGGTAGCTTAATAGGTAGAGCATTCGTCCGGTAAACGAAGGATGCAGGTTTCGACTTCTGCCTGGGCCACTTTTTTTCTCATAGTCTGATATCTCTTTAAATTTCTGCAAAGGAGCAATGTCAGGACTAGATTCAGGTTAATCAAACCAAAACTTAAACTCTATAAAGCCAATTTCAGGGCAAAAATGGACAAATATCCTACATTCTCCAATCTCATAATGACCTATTTTCTATCAACTCAACTTCTGGTGCTCTATACCTACTTCAAAGTTTGTCATACTCAACTCAAAATCAGTACGAGTTATCAATTCAAGCCCTAAATCAAGGAGAATTCAACCTTTTTTCAACAACTACAGTAATAATTACAGTAACCGCAGATACTAACCGTCAAAACTGTCAATTTCCATATTCTTACAACCTCAAAATTCTGGAAAATCAACGGATTCAGAAGCCGATGGCTACCGTGGCTTCTGTAAAAGACAACAAATGTGATTACAGTAAACTTGTGTATATATTGAAAAACAATTTCACCAAGTTTACTGTAAATTCATCTACTGGCGACATCTTTATGGATTCTGAATTGAATTCTGAAGCCAAAAATTTCTACGAACTACAAGTTACCGTGGTAGAAATTACCGAATTCATATCATATACTACAGTAATACCAGTCACAATTACAGTAGAAGACATCAACGATAATAGTCCAAAGATTACTGTAACTGAATTTGATCATTACATACCTAACAAGGTCAATATCAACCAGATATTGTATGTTGTGAATGCAGAAGATGCAGATAGGTCTTCGAAGAATAAGTTACAGTATGGAATTGGTGGTGAAGATGGAGAATATTTTAATATTGACAACTTTGGAGCTATCAGAAGTAGAGAAGAGAAGTTGATAAAAGCAAAATATGAAGTTACAGTAACTGTTGAGGATCAAGATGGGTTGAGTGATAGTGTGGATCTGAACTTTTACACTGCTAATCCAGAGAAGTTTGTGGTCGAGAAAGTAAGTTTTTATTGAAAAATTGAATGCCCTGCCGTATTTTACTTTTTTTACACTTATTTTTGAATGAACAACTGATAGCAAGCAAGAATTTATGTTAACGTAAGACCTAAAGCTAGGGCTAGAGCTAAACGTGATGCTAAGACTAAAGCCACCGGCTAAAGCCTAAAATGCTAAGCACTAAGGTTAAGCACAAAACCTAGACGCTAGAGTTAGACGTTACGGCTGAGGCTGTAAGACTACGATTAAGAATAGAACAAGAGGCTAAGGCTGAAGGCTGGGCTTAGACTTAGGTTCAGGCTCAGGCTCAAGCTCAAGCTCAAGCTCAAGCTCAAGCTCAAGCTCAAGCTCAAGCTCAAGCTCAAGCTCACGCTTAAGCTCAAGCTCAAACTCAAGCTCAAACTTAAGCTCAAGCTTAAGCTCAAGCTCGAACTACCAAAGCTGGGTTTGAAGCTAAGCGTAAAGCTAGGCTTGACGCTAGGCCTGAAGAGAGGCATAAGCCTAAAGCTAGGCCTAACGCTAGCTATAAAGCTAGGGATTAAAGCTAGAGGTAGCTATCGATTCAGTTCTTGCATAAAGTCACGATAACGACTTTAAAACTTTTGACTAAGCCATTTTCAAACATAATTTTAAGTGGATTGACAGCCATCTCTAGCTAGATCTAAGACAAAAGCAAGGAACAAATGTCGTATTTTACAAACCAACTTTCTATTTCACTTTACAGAACATCAAAGCTCATCACCTACAAGTATCAGAGAACTCAAAAGACAACTTAGAATTCAGTTTACAATCGTATTTTACTGAAGACCTTAACCATCTTGACATTACTATCTTTTCCGGAGATATCAACAACTTTTTCATCGATGAAGACAAAGATTTTGTAGCAAAAGAGTTGGACCGTGAAGAAGAATTCAGTTACAGAATATTCTTAAAAATTTGTCTCAAAGAGACCCCTGCTTTCTGTAGTACATTAGAAATGGCAGTCGAAGTTTTGGATGAAAATGACAACGCCCCCGTCTTTGAAAAAGAAATTTATTACCTAAACGTTACCGAAAATACAGTACCATCAGCACCAATACTAAAATTAACAACCTTTGACAAGGATCTTGGTGATAATGCTCAATTTACGTACTCAATAGCACCAAATGACAAGTTTGATGACAATATCGTTGCAATTCATCCACAAAATGGGTATCTAGAGTTGAGGAAAGAGCTAGATAGAGAAGATAAAAGTGAATATTTGCTGGTAATTGAGTGTATTGATGATGGTAATCCACCACAAATTGGAAGAACACTTGTTCATGTTACTGTAGATGATCAGAATGACAATCCACCAAAGTTCAATAAATTATTAAAAGTAAGAAAAGAGCTATTTTATAGTAAAATAAGTCTTTCTTGTAAATTTTGTAGGATTGACGAAATGTCACAAAAACTATTGCTTTTTTTCAAAAAGTTGACGAAATGTCACAAAAATTATTAATTTATAAAAAAAGTAATGTACCGTCTTTTAGGCTGATGTTTATGAAAATGTTCCAATTGGAACGCATTTCTACACAATTAAAGCTACAGATTCAGATGAAAACAGTCAATTGCGTTATAAAATTTTAAATGGTACCTATAGCAGTTACTTTGACGTTGAAGAACATACTGGAAACGTTTTTACGGCTAAAGCGATTGATCGTGAAGTTGTTGAAGAAATGGATTTGCAGGTATGTTGATGTATTATGTAATGAGCAATGTACTGAAAAAAGTGGCGAGGCAGAAGTAAAAGCAGAGTAGAGCAAAGCTGAAGTAAGGTGAAAATACAGCTAGAAAAAGCTGTTATTTGGTAAAGCTAAAGAAGAGCATAGCTAGAGTCAAGCTAGGAATTGAAACTAGGGCTAGAGCTAGACTTGAGGTTAAGGTTGAGACTAGGCTCAAGCCAAAGCTGAAGCTAGGAATGAGATTAAGGCTAAGACTAAACCTGAGGCTAGATCTGAGGCTAGAAATGAGGCAAGAACTAAAGCTAAGAATGAAGTTAGGCCTAAGGCTAAGCTTAAGAGTAACACTAACATAGCGTAAAGCTAAAGCAGAGCAAGAGTATAGCTATATTAATAGCTAAGGCTATGATAAAAGCTACGATAGTGTCGCAGTAACACATTTCGTGTAAGACTACGTTTAATACTGTTTTCAGATCCTATGTTACGACAACGAATGGCAAGTAACGACTCAAATGGCAATTTATATTCAAGATGTCAACGATAACGCTCCAAAGTTTACTCATGATTACTACAATTTTACTATTTCACCAAAAGTTCAAATTGATGGCATTATTGGTACTATACATGCTACAGACGCTGACATAGGCAAAAACGCTAAAGTTAGCTACTTTATCAAAACTTCTGATGAGAACGTGAGAATTGATGTAACTAGTGGTAACATTATTCTTGTCAGAGCGTTTAACAGTAATCATTGGCTTACTGGTACTACAGTCGACTCTAGAAGTCTTGAGTTTACTGCTGTAACTTTTACTGTAATAGCAAGAGATCATGGTTATCCAAGTCTACATAGTACAACAAAAGTTGCTCTGTTTGTACCTGTAGTATCAAAGTTTGATGCAAACGTACAGAAGATGTTATACGATACTTTGGCAGTTTACCGTGCAACTACACAGCTTGACCATCCAAGAGGAAATGACTATAGTACTGGCTTTGAGAATCAGACAAGTATAGAAACTACAGTACTAACTAGCCCAGATGCTTTGCCAATAGAGTACAATGCTACAGGGCTTAAAAGCTTTAATAATACTACAAAGTTAGACAGTATTATAAGTTCAGACTTTAACAGTACAAACATCAGTACGAAAAATTCTACCATAATCAACCAGGGTTACTGTAACTCAATCAAGGAAGAAGCCATCAAATTTTTAAGCACTACCTACAAGTTTTACCTGCCATTTAATGCAACCAAAGATGACATATTAGGACAATTGAAGACCACTTCCTTTAATAAAGAAAAAAATGTTATTGTCAAGCTACAAGACCAACCATACTTTACAGTGACACAAAAAAATCATGATTTGAAAGTGTTGAACAGAATTGAAAGTGACAAAACAATCGAATTATATGCCATTATCAAGCAAAAGAGCTATGAGAAAGTGCCGGAAATGTGAGTTTTAACATTTATAACATTTTTTAAAACTTTTTGGTGAAAAAATTAATAAACCTAAGGCGTTTTAGAGCCCACATTGTGATTGAAAGGTCCAACTTCTCTGCTTATAAATTCCAACAGCCTTTCTACAACATTACTGTTCTTGAAACTGATGAAATTGATACTGAACTACTAGACTTCAAAGTCAATTTACCACCTACTGGAGCAGTAAGCATCTTCAAAGGCGATGACGAACACGTAAGCGGTTTTACTAACCTTTCTCAAGTCTACTCTACCCTACCCTATCTTACCGTATTATATCGTATTATACTGTACTATACCGTAACATGCAGTACTATACCGTACCATACCGTACCATAGCATACCATCTGTACCATACCGTACCATACCCCATCTAAGAATACATGTTCTTATCTAACCTAATACATCTTAGATTTTCTGCATAAAAGGCGTGTCAATATTATCTCTATGTCAACCTCCCAACTACAATACTCAACCCTACTACAACATTGAGCTAGTAATCTTTAACACCGACACTATTGTATCTCGTACCACCGTAAATATTACAGTAATTGACGTAGACAACACTGCTCCAGTAATCCGACCAAATTTTGAATTTTTCAAAATTTTAGAAAATTTGAAAGTCTTTGGAATCATTGGCAAGATTACTGTATTTGACCCAGATACTGTAGAAACTTTGCATATTTTTACTTTTAAAATTACTGGAGATAATCGACAAGATGTTATAGTAGATTCTGATGGCGTTTTATATGCTAATACAACTTTCGATCGTGAAAAGAGGTCAATGTTACAGTATACGATAGAGATATCGGACTTGGCTGGAAACATGGCTATATCTACATTTTATGTCATCGTAGATGACCAAATTGATAATGCGGTCACTAACAATACTATCAACTATTTTTACGTCGCTGAAAGTTACAGTAATCTTACGTTGACGTCTGTAACACCAGCTTCTTATGATACTGCCTTACCTGATGTCAAGTGTAATATCGAGAAAAGTGATCATAACTTGTTAAATATTTCAAATGATTGTGACCTAGTAATTGGCAATGTGAAAGACAATATGACAGTTAGGATAAGTGCTAACACAAAGCAGAAAATTGTAAAATACGATGTAAATTTGGTAGTAATGAAACCGTTACATGGATTTGATAGCAATATTGATGTCATTGCTATTGAACTAACTGGAACGGATGATGGTGTAGCTCAGTTTGTTAGAATGTTTGACAAACTCAATAGTGATGTTGTAAGTTATATTTTAAAACTTTATTCTTATTTTAGCCTCAGCACTAGCCTTAGCTTTTTTAGTGCTTTAGCCTTAGCATTTACTCTATAACGCGCTACTGAAGCCTTGTCTTTTCCTAACAAACGGTACTCAATCTATCTTTTATTACCATTTTTATTCTACCTACGTTCATAGTTTTGTTCTTAAATTTCTAACATAGTATTTACTTTCACTATAAGCTTTAGTGCCTTAACAAGTACTGAAGCTTCTACTGTTAATGGAAATTCTATTCGAGTTCGAGTTACTTCTCTAGCTTTACCTTAGCTTTTTAGCTGGTAGTAGGTGTTACCCAATCTTTTTAGCTTACTGTAAACTTGTCAAGCTTCTTAAACTGAGAGTTACAGTCAAGCTCCTTTGTTAGCTCTACTAAAACGTTTTTTTTTTGTTTTTACTTTTACTTTGGGTTTTACTTGTACATTGGCTTTTACTCTAAACTCTACCTTAACCTGTACACCATTCCTTACCCTAGACTCTGCCTTAATCGTCGAGATAAAAGCTTTTACATTGGTTTCTAAACAAACCTTTACTTCAGCTATTTTCTAGCCTTTTTCTTGTGTTATATAAGCATTGCTACAACTTTTCTTCTAACCTCTATTAATGCGACTGTTATAGCTCTTTTATAACTTACCTTATTTTAGATATCCTCTTAACCACAACTTAAAATTACAATTATTCATTTTCAGAAACTCCACTTAATCTCATCATCTCTACTGTCACCTTATAGACACAAACTTATATTGTCTTTAATCAACAGTAATGGCATTTTGTCAACAATTGAAGCTGTCAACATACTAAAAGATTTTATTAATCGGAACAAAGGCAAGCTATCAATTTACAAAATTAACATCGATGCCAACCTGTGCATCAGAAATTGTAGTTACGGAGAGAAATGTGAAGCTCAAGTAACTGATCAAAGGAATGTCTACAGATACTTTGATTCTGTCATTGATTTACCTAATGTTAATTGGAAGTAAGTTTAAAAAACCAATGTTTATTGATGACGTATTTTACATTGTTTAATTACATTTTATGATAAATTACTTTACACTCTAGGTTAACATATAACCCTTGAATTATATATTTTTCATTTTTACCTTGGACAAAAACCTTAAATTCTTGTCCACGAAAAATCTCTCATAATTTTATGCGTTCTCTAGTTTTTCTCTAATGCCGACGGCAATCAGACAAAAAAAGGGATCACATAAAACTATGAGAATTTTTTCGTAAACAAGAATGTAAGGTTTTTGTCTGAAGTAAAAATTAAAAGTATATAATTCAAGGGTTATATATTACATTTTATGTCAACTTACTTTAGTATATTTAAACATATCTTACAGATGTTCATGCACATCCTTAACCCTAGCTCATCAAGATTCTTGTACTGACCTATTTACCGGATTTACAGCTTATCAGTCAGACCTTATACCAACTGAACAGTCGAAATTACAGTTAAAAACAACACCAGCCTTGACTACGCATTTTGCGAAAGCCCCAGTTGTTATCGACAAAGTGTACTCTTTTACGTACAATTCGAAACTGGTACTAAACCATATTCAGAATGTATCAAAAATAGAATTTTTGATTATTACTGAAGCCTCTAATGGCGTATTGGTAGTACTGTACAATGATAATAGCAGCCAGTTTGTAACGGTTGATATTGCTGATGGCTATGTTAGACTGTTTAGCAAGGACACTGATAATGTTGTGAGTTATAAAAATTTTATTAATCAAAATATTTATATAAAGACTATAGTACAAATTATAATAACGACTGGATAGAGTAGAGACTAGAGTTGAGGCTACAGTATATATATACTTAAGTAGAAGTTAGAGTAGGGCTGTATGTAGTAAGTACTTGCAGAGGCTAGAATTAGAGCTATATTAGAAGCAAAAGTAGAGACTAGAATAAGTAATAGAGCAGAGGCTAGGCTAGAGGCTAAAACGGAGGCTAAGGTATGCGCTAACGTGCAAGCCAGGGTAGGTATCGGAGCCATAGTAGATGGCTCTACTAGATCAAGACTTGGAGAGTTAGTGAAAGGTAAAAACTATTGTATAAGCAAGGGCAGACATGAAGAACGCGCTTGGCTGGGCCTGGCGTAAATTTAGGTCGGGTCCGGCCTGAGAAAAATTTTTATCGGGCCGAGCTTAACATTTCAGCCCGACCCGGCTCGTTGTTCACGTCTAGGCAAAAAAAAGGACTATAGTAAAGGCTAGGTCGAAATTTGTAGTAGAAGTATAAGTTAGATTTCTTATCTCAAGCTTATTGTAATTTAAATTTTTTAGGTATCTAAATTTCGTATCAACGACAAAACATGGTATAAGTTATCAATGCATCTTACGCCAACTATCGTTACCTTATCTATTACACCTTGTGTAACTACAGATTACTGTAACATTACTTCTGAATCCACTATCAATCTTAACTACTCAAAACAACAAAACTACAGTAGTCTTACCACTAACTCAATGCAAAACATCATGTTTGGAAGTACAGGAAATATGTCAGAATTAGCCTCTGACACTGATTTTCATGGTTGTTTGACCAAAGTTAATGTGAATAACTTTCCAATAGACAAGTATCAGAGTCAATTTCAAGCCGATGGACTGTTAACGCATTGTTATTTGACTGACAAGGTTAATTTGAAAGCAGAGAAGTTAAATTGTAGTAGTGGAGAAAGAGCGTACCTGTACGGTGAAGAGTACTGTAACTGTGAAGATGATGTTTATGATAGCACTTGTGATTACGGTAGGTCTTTAGTACTTCTAATTCTTAATATTGCCTTGCCTTGCCTTGCCTTGCCTTGCCTTGCCTTGCCTTGCCTTGCCTTGCCTTGCCTTGCCTTGCCTTGCCTTGCCTTGCCTTGCCTTGCCTTTGCCGTATAGGCCATCCTACTCTATCTTACCCTACTCTACTCTTAACATTACCTATTTAATCAATCATTACGAGTTCTTTCAGATTCTACCTTAATATCAGACAAAAACTTGACCATAAAGTTAATACCAACGCTACATTTTAAACGTATAATAAGCTTCAAACCTAGAAATCAAACTTCTAACGTAAATGTACTTCAAAAACGTCACGGTATTCGACGTTTGCATAAAATACGAGACGTAGAAGGTCATGAATCATCAGACGATACATCTTTGTTAAACTACAATCTACTTGAATTTGATTTACAGACATATTCCATTAACATAACTGTAGTTCAAATTGAGTTCAAGTACTGTAGAATAGAGGTTATAAAAAATGGAAATGGCTTTGAAGTGGTCTTGTCAGCAAGCGATGCGAAGAAAATACAAAAAAGATTTGAGTTTGAAGAAAAAGTTGATAAAGAAGGTTTCTTCAGGATCAAGGTAAGTATTACACAAAAACGATTTTATTTTAAATACTTTTTAAAACCTAAAGTGATAAAAGTAAATAACTTTAATATAAAGAAAAAACTTTCGTTGCAAGACCTAAACTGAGCCTCGAAGGGGTTTCAGCCTTGACCCTTGGGCCCACTTATGCCCTTTCAAAGTTGCTTTGGCTTGCTCAACCTCGGTTTGATCAGATCAAGTCGAGGCCAAGCTGAGCCTTATAGGCCCCCTTTCAAGTCTAATTGCCAACTAAACACTTGTTTTTTAGATCGGATTCAACCAGTTTGGTCAATACCTACTAATGATAGATGACAAAACTATGAACTTTGTAGACGAAGCTTTTAAAAACACATCAACGCTAGCAACTTTAGAGTACATTACTATTGGATTGCCACAGAAGTTAATTAGTAAACAAGAAAGTGATGGTACAGATAATGCAAATGCTACTGGACTAGATGGTTGCGTAAAAAGACTTGCTTTCAACCAACAGCTACAGATTACAAATGCTAAAAGTCAACAGTTAATGAGTAATCAGGTAAGATTTTGCCAAGACTTTTTGTTTAAAAGCTAGCCTAGAGCCCTAGCCTAGAACCGTTGCCCAAATTCCTAGTTCAGATCTTTAGCCTTAGCGCAGAGCGCTAGCCCAGGACACTAGTCCAGTCCCCTAGCCTAAAGCCGAGAGCCTTAGCCCGTAGTGTTAGCCCAAAGCCATAGCCCAAACCCTAGTCCGAAGTCCTATCTTAAAGCTCTAGCCCAAAGCCTAGCTTAGAGCCCTAGTTGTAGCTTATGATTTAGCCCAGCTCAGCTTAGCCTAGCCCAACCCTGCCTCGAGTCCTAGTTCAAAGCTCTAGCAATAAGTTTTAGTGCTAGCTCAAGCCTTAAGGCTAGATCTAAACGAGCAGCTTAGCATAGCATATTCCCCCTCCCAGCCCGGACCAGCTCTAATCCTAGCCTTACAAACTTTTTTTTAGTTTTTCCACACCGAATTCCCCAACCGTCCTCCAAAGATCGGTTGTCTAAAAGCGGCGTTATGTACTCAATCTCACTACTGCCCTCAAAACAGCACCAACCTCAAAATCTTCTCCTTAACAGTAAAAACCTGGATTATTCTTATCATCGGCTTCCTTACAATCTCATCAATTGTAATGATAGCACTTGGTATGATGATGAAGAGAAAGAAGAAGACAGTGACATGTCAACGTATCTCAAACATGAAGTTGATATCATCGTGTGGTAGAGAAGATTGTAAGGACATACAGTGTAGGTATGATTTGCAACGACCATTCGAAAGGAGCTATGAACCAGGCTTTGTGGATCCATATGGTTCGGTTAACGTTAGTAATGGCAATAGCGTTTGTTCTTGTGAAAATGTAAGATTTTATTAAAATTTTAAAGTTTTAAAATAAGTAAGGTAAAAATTGTTTTAAATATATTTAAAAATGACAAACTTTGCTATAAAATGGCACTTTTATTAAAAAATGTAACGAAATGTCACAAAATTTATCGATTTTTTAAATGGATTTTTCACTATGAAACGTATGTTTTGTAACTTTAAAACGTTATATTATGTAGAAAATTATTTTTTCATAATGTAACGAAATGTCACAAAACTTATTGATTCCATATAAAATAATTATTTGTGGCTTATCTTGCTTTTTATATATTTAATTTCTTTAATTGTCGTATTTTACAAAAATAAATTTTGTTTTTTTTAAATTGGACAAAATGTCACAAAATTTATCGATTTTTAACGAAAAGTAACAAAATTTATCGATTTTTTTGTTTACACTATGATACCTTTCTGTTTCAGCCCGACTTTATCTCAACAGCCTCCATAGCATATCACAACTCCAACTACATGAATCTCAGCTCTATGTCAACTTTTAATCCACCCCCAGAATACGATTACCCTGCCAGTTCCGCCGAATATGCCAAACCAATTGCCATTATTTATTCACCTCGTATGGAGGTGGGTTATGTTCTCAACGATGAAGATGTACTCAATTCCTCGGCCGAAACAGCTTTGTATCAAGAAATTGTGTATGCTAGTCAAAACAATTCGTCTCGCGACAATTAGTACGTGTAAATTTATCGGGTTGTAAATAAAGTTTTAGTATATATAACTGCCGCTTTTATTGACTAAATTTTGAAAAATGTCTTTTTCAGTTGTATTTATTTTTAAAATACTTATTTTATTACTTATTCTTTGTACCAGAGCCAAAAATTTGAATGTTGGACGATATTGTAGGTGGTTGATGTTGTGGAAGTTTTTAGGTGAAAAATAGGATCGATACGGAGGGTTTTTGATTTTGAAAATTAAATTATACATTGCTCTTTCATGTTATATTATTTTTGGTTCAAGCTTTACTTATCTTAGGCCTGAAATAAATAAAAATGTAGGTAACGATGGTATATTGTTGTACGTGTTTGATGTGGAGGAAGTTTTTAGATGAAAAATAAGATTTATACAGAGGGTTTTTGTTTTTAAAAATTAAAATAGAGATTGTTTTTTTTTATTTTTTATTAGTTTGCAGTAGTTTGTTACCTATTTTAGGCATGAACTCATTAAAAGTGTAAATAACAACCTATGTTAAGGTAGGTGGTTAATGCTAACGAAGTTGTGGTAAAGTGGGATAGGGTTAAACAGGTCAAGAGTAGGGTCGAGTTAATACCCTAAACTCTTCGCCAAATTGCCTAAAGCCTCCGCCGACCCTCCGCCAAATACTAAAGTGTCCGCCGAATCAAAAAGAAAATTTTTGGAAAGAACAGGGCATTTGCAGGGCATTACAGGGCATATGGCATGCCCTGCCCTGTTCGAAGCTATGCCCTGCCCTGCCCTGTAAAAAAAATTTAAACCATGCCCTATGCCCTGCCCTCACCCTGCCCTGTGTCCAAGCCTGATGTTGCCCCAAGCCTTGCTGCAAACCTTGTTGTACTTTTAAAGATTGCTGTCCTAAGCCTTGTTGTTGTCCGGGTAAGGTTATTTTTGTAATTTTATTCATAATGAAAAAAGTCTTGGGTTTTTAATTTTTGGAAAATGATGATTTTAGCCAAGCCCCCTGTGTAGCACCACCAATGCCATGTTGTGCACCTTATGGCAATGGATGTGGCGTTTGCCGACCTGGTGGTTAATAATAATGCATGGTTTTAATAAATTTTGAAAAAGAGTTTTTAGTTTAAAATGTGTTTAGAAAAGGTGACTAAGGTAGGCATAGTTTTAGACTTAGCTTTATCAATAGGCTAAGATATAGGCTTAAGCTGAGACTTGATTTTAGATAGACATGAGAAACGCGTTGGGCTTGAATGTTAGGCGCGGCCCGATCGAAATTTTGCTCAAGAGCTTTAGTCTTAGCTTTAGTCTTAACTTTAGCTTTAGCTTTTATCCTCGCTTTCACCCTTGTTCTATCTTTTTCTTGAGCACCAGTTTAGCACTAAACTTTGATCGTAGATCTAGATTTCGCCGTAGTCTTACGAATTTTGAAAAATTTTTAGTTTTCGTCTTAGATTTAGCTTCAGTCTAAACTTAAGTTTAGTTTTAGACTTGGCGTTGCACTAGCTCTTCTGCTGTACCTTACTCTTTTAATCAAGCCTTAAAATTTCTTTGAAGTTTAAAGTCAGATTTTATGCCAGATCACTTGTACTTTTACGATGCAAACTTTTTTTTCTATTTGCCACAACTTTAAAATCTCAAAACCCTTATTAAAGTCCAAGCTGACGATCTTTCGACGCTTTTAAACAGACTTCCGAAAGTGTTTATCAACCGAAAACTTGATCATTTGTCAGTTTGGGGGAAGGGGCAAAAAACTTGAGCAAGGACAGGGAGAGGGTGATATGAACATAGTCGTCTGCCCCTCTCTTCTCTTTATGTGCATGTATGTCGCTGCACATCACGAGAAGAAGAGCGCTGTGGTCGCCGTCGTCTCTTCGGGGTGGTGATGATAGGCTGTTGATTACAAAAACAGTCGAAAAGCTCGACGTTTTGGAAACACACGGGCTGATTTCGGAATTCGGACGGTTGTGTTTTACAATGAAATGTTATACATATGTATTTTTATATAAATAATGGATGGTGATCGGTCAAATAATTATAAAAAAGTAAAAAATTGATAAAAAGATTTGAAATTTGAATACATTGCCTTTTGCTAAATTTTACATTAGTATTAGCCTTAGTTCTAGTCATAGCTCTAGCCCAGAGCTATAGCCCAGAGACCTAGCCCAGAGTCCTAGCCCAGAGTCCTAGCCCAGAGCCCTAGCCCAGAGCTTAAACTTTAGCCATATCTTAGCCCAATCCAAATAACTCTGGGCTTTTCTTCTTTTATTTATAGTCTTAGACCTAGTCCTGGCTCTGGCTTTACTTTAATGCGGACCAAAAATAACCTTTTGGTTTTCTTACAAGGCCAGATTTGAGAAAATCGAGATCAAAACCTGCAATTTTAAATTTGTAAGCTTATCTTATCTGGAACATCAAGAAAAGTGCTTGCAACACAATGCTAAATTTGCCAAATTGGCGGGGAATTTAGATATATTAATTTTAAAGCTTAAAGCCGCAAGCTAAGATTTTTTCTATGTGCTACAGGTACTACAAAGAATCTGTATAAAAACTTTAAGCTAATTCTGAGAGTTGCAGGTTGGGTACTTCCCTTGTTAGCCTTAACTATAGTCGTAGCTCTAGCCTTAACTTTATAACTGTGCTCAGCTTCAAAAATTCAAATGTCGAATTAAAAATGTAAAATACGACATAAAAAACTAACAGTTTGATAACAAAAAAAATTTAGAATTATTTAATGATTTGTGATACAGCTGTTCTACTGTACTTAAAATTATCTATATTATTTATTTTGTATGTTTTACCACAAATCCTAATCATGATCGAACGGCCCAAACCTTGATCATCTCAACACAATGTTGTTTATGAATGACTGTAATGTTTGGGCTGTTTTATCGGTGTTTGGCGGCAAGGACCTTCCTCCCCCCATTCGTCTCAAACACAAAGATTGCAATCACGAGAAGACGATCAGGGTCATGTCGACTGCTGACACTTTGGGGGTGCTTGTTCATTAGCCAGCTAGCGTCCCTCTCTTCCTTCTCCATCTCCTTCGACCCCGCCAACCTTCTCCCATCGCTTTCCATATTTTGCCCGTCTCCTGATCGCCGACAAAAATTTTTTCTCCGGTTCGTTTTGTGTGGAGGGGGGGGGGAGAAGGGGAAACAGCGTCCAGCTTGCCAATCTTTGCTTCACTTCGAATATTCCGTTTTCGCTTCGCACCCATCCAAGGCACAATGGCTGCAAGTCAAGGAAGAAGGCGGTGATCTTTGCTGGGAACTCTCAAAGCTTTGGTTTTTTAAATTTGAATATCCGGGTTGAAGTTGAAAGAGGGTTTTTGGCCAAAGTTGAGAAAACAGGGTAAGCGACTGTACTTGTAGAAAAAAAAATTGACCAGCTAAATAAAAAAAAAGTTTAAGTCTACGGTAAAAAAGACTGTAACTGGCCTGGGTTTTGAAAAAACTGAGCAGAATGGGAAGCAAATTAAGCTTTACCAACTAAAAAATTATTTAGCTTATTGATTTAAGTATCAAATCATAAAGAATGACAAGCAATTTAAACTTAATGCGTAGCCTTAGCCTTAGACTTAGCTTGCGTTAAACCTTGAATTTTGTTTCAGCTTTATCATGATCTTCAGCTTTAGCCTTAGCTTCAGCCTTAGGTCTAGCCTTTGCCTTTAGCTTTAGCAGTCGCTTCACCCTTACTCCTAATATTTGTCATATCATTTGCCGGAGATCTAATTTTACCCGTAGCCTTATAATTTTTTTAAAAATTTACTTTTTGGTAACAAATTGTAAAAAACTGAAATATTTTTTTAAATTTCAATTTTGGTTTTTAACTATTTTTTCATTTTTTGTTCATTTTATTGTTAAATTCATACTACACTTACTTTTCTCCCTACAACCCCCCCCTCTTCTTAAATGCCCTGCTACCCCCACATCCTTTCCTACCTTCCTCCCCCCCCACCCATTTCTACCCTAACACCTTTCGTCAAAACCTGCACCTCGCTGTTTGTCATCATCGGTCAACATAACCCGCCGACGACCTTTAACCGTCCCCTCTCCTCTCTACCTCTCTCCTTTCATTCACCTTGCTGCTTCAAACTGTAGAACAGGACATAAAAAGGGGAAAGAATGGCGCGCAAGGCCATGAACATTCGTCGTTTTGGCTCGCGATGAAGAAGGTTGGGGTTGGCGCCGACAAAAGTGAAAGGAAAGAAGTGATCGCGTCTTGGAAAACACATTTTGGTCTTCTCCTGCTTTCAACACAGATTATTCATTAGGAGGCGCTGGCCGCGGCTGCCTCGGATTGAAAGTGTTGTAGGTGAATAATGGGTGGGGTGTTGAACATGAGTTTTGGTGTTGGTTTTGGGGAAGGATGAGGAAGGAGAGGAAGGGAGGAGGGGGGGGGGTAGTTATTAAACTTGGATTTTGGAGGGAGTTTCTTTGAAGGAGGGGGGGGGGAGAGAGAGAGGGGGGGGGGAGAGAGAGGGGGGGAGGGAGACAGAATGAGAGGGATGAGGAAAAGAACAATGATAGAGGGGGTAGATGTCAAACTGTTTTTGATCAAAAAAAAATTTGAAGGGAGGGGTAAAATTTCAATTTTTAAATACTTTTACTTTGTTGACATAGTAAGGGAAGAGTGAATAAAAAATGATAGTGTTGAGCAAGACTTTTGGTCCAACTAGTGTTTTGAAGGTAAGGGGGAAAGGGAGGGTGAAAAAAAGGGACAAAAATCTGATTTTTTAAAGTTTTTTTTTACTTTGGGCGTGTAAAAAGGCACTGAAAAGACGATAGGGGCTGTAAAACAGCAGGGTACGGCAAAGAAAAGAAGAAAATCAGTTTTTAAGGTATGAAAAATTGTAAAATAACATTTATTTTTTTAATTGTTTTTTGCTTAGTGGCGTAGGGGAGGGGAGGGGGGAGAAGTGGGAGGGGAGGGGGGGGGGTTCGTGAGAGTTTGGTGATGCCTGTCAGATAGATTTGGTAGGACAAGCAGAAGTTTGGGAAAGTAGCGTAGAACTTGGACAAGTCTACACAAGGATAAAGAGTTTAAGGGGTTGAGTTAGAGTACAGCTATGGTACGAAAAGGAATACCCATGCCACACGCATGACAATTGTAGACAAAAGGTAGGGTACGGGTGTTAGACAAAGGTTGGAAAAAGTAGGTCTATAGTAGTAGGGTAACAGTAGTGTAGGGTAGGGTAGGTTAGGGTAGGGTAGGGTAGGGTAGGGTAGGGTAGGGTAGGGTAAGGTAGGGTAGGGTAGGGTAAGGTAGGGTAGGGTAGGGTAGGGTAGGGTAGGGTAGGGTAGGGTAGGGTAGGGTAGGGTAGGGTAGGGTAGGGTAGGGTAGGGTAGGGTAACATATTCTTTCTTTGAGGGAGGTAATCATTAGTTGGTTCAACTACAATTTTTACTGATATAAAAGTTGTAGTTGAACAAACGAATGTTCTAACAATTATTGATCAACGCTCTTCCTTTCCGAAAGCAGCGTTTTTATCAGTTTTTCAGCGAGGAATCAATCGCTTTTTCTTTTTTTTATATTTTGTTGATGTTCAACCAGACTTTCTCTTTCGTTCATGTTTCTCTACAACTCGCTGATACCTATTTATCTATTTCAAAACGTCAAATTAAGAAAAATAATGTCATTCTTTTCAGCATGACCATAAAATGTCAGCTCTGCACGAAAAACGACCCAATTCTGAATCTCCAACATCAAGATGAACTTGTCCGACATCTTGTTGTTGATCATGCCAAATCCGTGGCCAAAACGTTTCTGCAGCCAGGAATGAGTGAGCAGGATCAATGGCTGTGGAATCAAGTGTCTTTTGATAAGGCGATTGTAAGTTTTTTTTTAAATTTTTTAATTTAAAAAGTTGATTTTTAAAAAATGAGTAAATTTGAGGTTTTTAGGTAATAAATTCAAATTTTTTGAAAAATGACATTGTAGGTGACAATTTTGTAAAAAAAGTGGTTTTTAGGTAACAAACCTTCAAAAACTGATATTTTAGGCCATAAATTAAAAAAATATATATTTTAGGTAACAAATTTTTTGAAAAATGACATTGTAAGTAACAATTTTGTAAAAAAAGTGGTTTTTAGGTAACAAATCTTCAAACTGATACTTTAGACCATAAATTCAAAAAAAAAAAGATATTTTAGGTAACCAATCTTCAAAAACTGATATTTTAGACTATAAATTTAGAAAAAAAAGATATTTTAAGTAACAAATTTTTGAAAAATTGACTTTTTAGGTAAAAATTACAAATAACTTTTTTTTTAGGTAACAAAAAGTTGAAAAATGCTGTTTGTAAGTAAAACCTTTTTGAAAAAGGACAGGTAACAGCTAGCCAAAGAAGGCATTTTAGCTAAAAAATAAAGAAAATTAATATTTTAGGTAATAAAAAGTTGAACTATAAAATTTAGGTAACAAAAATTAAAAAATCTGGTTTTTAAAAAAATTTTATTTTATTTTGATATTATACTAGGCCCAATAAACCAAAAAGCTTATTGATCTTAACATTCCAGCTGGAGATTCCTCAATGTTCAGACGAACAAATCCACCGTGCCTCGTTCAACATTCTACAGCCAATTGGGCACGTTGTTCGAACATTCTTTCACATTTTATTTGACAAAGCAGAGGTAGATGAGGAAGATAAGGAAAAGGTTTTTCAAGTTGTTGATCAGCACTTTCCTTTATCAGAATCGAGGGTTGAAGAAGAAGAGGATAAGCATGAAGAAGATGAGAAAGAAAATAATGTGATCTTGAACATGGTATGTTGTATACGTCTATTCTACTCTATCCTACATTACTTTACCATACCCTACTTTACCTAACTCTACTCTACCCTACTCTACCTTACTCTACCCTATCCTACTCTACCCTACCCTATCTTACCTTACCTAACCTTATCTCCTCTACCCTGCCTTGCTCCACTTAATCCTAATCTTTCTACCTTACCTTACCTAATATTGCCTTCTCTACCCGCCCCATCTAATCCTACCCTTCCCACTTTACCTAGCCTTACCTAACACTACAATTCCAGATCTCAGCAGCCATCCAAACCAACCTTCTACACGACCAATTCACGTTACAACCTTCAAAACCCGAGAGTCAGGACAATATTTTCGAACCAGAGCAAGAAAGTAGTCGAGAACAATCACTAGAATTAGATGCGGATAATAACGACGATACTAATCATAACGTCAGTCAAGACGAAATTACTCCAAGACAGATTCAGCTGGGCAAACGACCGGATTCGAAGGCGATAAGGACCGCTGTTTGTCAGGTACCGGTAGGTTTTTAGTCTAGTTTAGGGTAAGGAGGGGAGAGGGAAGATTGTAAAAGTCCCATTAATTGGGGAGGGGGTGGGTGTGGAAAAACATTTTAGGTCTCCTTTAAAGCTTGGAAATAAAGTTTTTGCAATTTTTGAAAAAATGTAATTCTGCAGCCTGCGGAGGACAAATTATACGATACATGTCGTGTTTTGAGCTTGTAACGAATGTTCTTGCCATTTTTTGTTTTGTAAAGAAAGTTGTTGCTATTTTTTGTTTTTTAAAGAAAGTTCTTTCTACTTTGTCTAAATATCTGAAGTTTTGGATTCTTGCAACCTGCGGGCGACAAGTTATACGATAAATTAAGTTTCAAGCCTTGTAAAGAAAGTTTTTGCAATTTTTTGTTCGTAAAGAAAGTTATTGTAATTTTAATCTTTGTAAAGAAAGTTCTTGCAATTTTAATCTTTGTAAAGAAAGTTCTTGCCATTTTTTGTTTCGTAAAAAAAGTTCTTGCTTTTTTGTTTTGTAAAAAAAATTTGTGCCATTTTAAAAACCTAATATAGTGTTTTGCAACCTGCGGGTGAAAAGTTATATGCTGAATGATTTTTTTTAATTTTAAAACTGAAATTACTCCCCACCGTATTTTACACTAAAAAACAATTTTTCTTTTAATACCATTCTTTTTCAGTCCTGTAACCTAAAAGTCTGTATGACAGCCCGACAACGTCACGTTTACATGTTCCATGTTAACAAAAAAGACATGTTTGTATGTCCTCAATGTGAATACACCAACTCCAACTCGGTGTGGGAGGCTCGGAAGCACTGTGAATCGCACACTCCACCGTGCGAGCCAGAATCCAATGAGAAGAAGTACGTTAAGATCATCCGTGCTTGCAACTCAATGTGCTTCCCCAGCTGGCGAGAGAAGAGGTTCGCTGGAATGGAGGAGAAGTTGACGGCCAAGGAGATGGCAGAAGCTGAAGCTGAGATCAGTCAATGCCATTTTGATGCACAGAATAACAGGATCAGTTATGAAGAGGAGACTGGTAAGGGTGATATTATTATAGATGTAGGGTAGGATAGGATAAGGCAGGGTAGAAAAGGTAGAGTAAGAACGGTAGGATAGGATAAGCTAGTGAACGATAGGGTAAGGCAGGGTAGGATAGGCTAGTGTACGGTAGGGTAAGGCAGGGTTGGATAGGCTAGTGTACGATAGTGTAAGACAGGGTAGGGTAGAGAACAATGGGTATAGTAGCTTATTATATACAGGGTATTCAGAGCCAGAATAAAAAGAATAAAAAAAAAAGAAAATGGGAGGAGTAATTTTAATTTAGGTTTTTAAGGGTAGGCATAATACTGAATATTTTGTTAAGTTTAGGAAGACAGGGTTAAGTAAAGCAGATTAGTGCAAGGCATGACCGAAAAGATCAGGTAGCATTATCGTAGAGTAGGGTAAGGTTTGGCAGGCCAACGTGGAACAAAGTAGGCAGTGACTGAAAGATCTTGCCATTTTTGAAAAATCAATAATTTTTTTGACATTTCGTTCAAAAATCCTAATATTTTTCGACTTTTCGTGTTTTGAAATTATTTGGTTATTCGTGTAATAAAATGGCAAGAACTTTCTTTACAAACCTTAAAATGACAAGAACTTTCTTTACAAAACATAAACTGGCAAAAACTTTGTTTACGTGGCTTAAAAACTCACAATTGTCAATTAAAAAGTACCTTCAGTATTACAACAGATTTATTTTCAGCCGACGACACCCTGAATGCCTTACTAACCAAAGTAGAGAAAGAGATCTACGAAGAAGCGGAAGAAAGCGAAGATTTTGACAAACAACGTCAACAAGCCTCGTCCAGTCAATCTCACCTCAGCCATGCCACAACATCTAGCTCGAATTCAGAAGCCGACGATGATCTACCCTCTTCCAAACCTCAAAACAAGCTTAAATTACCATCGGAAGCCGTAGTCGATCGTCATGTCTGCCGAAAATGTCATCTGGAATGTCGTTACCCAGGTCGCCATATTGTTCAAAAACACCTCGGTAAACCTTTATATGTTTGTCCAGTATGTGAAACCTTTGGTACGTACGAGGCATGTGCTGTTGGGAAACATATAGAGTCGGTACATAAGAGGAAGGACCTGAAACCCATCAGTAAAATGGAAGAATATGCAAATGAGCTGAGACAGTTACAGGCGGAATGCTTCCCGGACAGACAAATGAAGCTTGTACCTTCCAATTTGGGTAAGAATTTTTGAATAGTGTGTTTGGTAGGGTAGATTTGGGGTAAAGTTATTGGTACGAAGGAAAAAAAGTTTTTAAATTTGTTACTTAAACAGCTATTTTTTGTCTTAAACTGCCGTTTTTTCACAATTTTTTACCTAAAAAGCCATTTTTTTAAACTTTGCAGCCCGCAGGTGACAAGTTATACGAAGAATACCACTTTACTTTTTGTAAAGAAAGTTCTTGCCATATCATGTTTTGTAAAGAAAGTTCTTGCAATTTTATATTTTGTAAAGAAAATTCTTGTCATTTTATGTTCTGTACACAAAGTTATTGCTATTTTTTGTTTTTGGAGAATAATTTTGCCATTTCATTATAAAAAGTCAAGTTTTGTACTTTGCAGCCTGCGGATGACAAATTATACGATAAATATCATTTTATATTTTTTGTAAAGAAAGTCCTTGCCATTTTATGTTTTGTAAAGAAAGTTCTTTCCATTCCAGGTTCAAAGCCCCGAGAACGCCATGTTTGTAAGATTTGTGAAGCAGATGTCGCCCAATCCGATCGTCAACGTCATGTCTACCATCGCCATCTTCGTCAACCAAAACTGTTCGAATGTCCTTTATGTGAATTCCATTCCGATTATGACATTCATCGAGTGTCATGGCATATCAAATGGACTCACAAAAACAATCAGAAACAGCCGATTACCCATGAAGCTGAGTTTAGAGACACTATCGACCGGTTGAATGAGGAATGCTTCCCTGGTTGGAAACATCGAAAGTGTTTGTCGCTGGCGGAGGAGAAAATGGCAACACCGAGGAGGAAATCGACTAGGAATACTAGGTAAGGATGGGAAGAAAGGCTTTGAGGTTCTAGGATTTGTAAAGAAAGTTCTTGCCATTTGAGTTTTGTAAAGAGAGCCCTTGCCACTTTTCGTTTTAGAAAGAAAGTTATTGCCATTTTTACTTAAAAAACGCATTTTTGAGTTTTGCAGTTTTCAGGTGACAGTATGCCGTTTTATTCCTTGTAAAGGAAGTTCTTGCCGTTTTATGACTTGTAAAGAAAGTTCTTGCCATTTTAAGTTTTGTAAAGAAAGTTCTTGCCATTTTATGCTTTTTAAACAAAGTTCTTGCCAGTTTAAACTAAAATATTCAATTTCAGAGCCCAATCCCGGACCAGTTCCCCATCATCCCGTTCCCAGTCCAAAGACCCTACTTCTTTAGACGACTTGCCAGCATCACCAGCACCAAACCAGCCCAACAAGCGGAAATCAGCCCGATCCAATGACACGACCGTCTTAAAAAAGCCCAAAATCGAAAATGAAGTCCAAATTTACTGTGAACTTTGCCATGTTACAGTAGCCGAGTCGGACGAACTGTCCCACCTTATGATGGACCATTTCGGTACGGACATGTACAAGTGTCCGGTATGCAAGACCTATACTCATGATGAACAAGATCAAGTGGCAGAGCACATGAAGGTGGCTCATAAGAACACGATTGGGGCTCCATTGCTGAACTTTGATAAGGTTGATGAGCTGTTGGCTGAACATAAAAGTGCATTTCCGGAGAGGACTTTGGTACTGGACAAGTGGTTGTCTGGGAATGGAGTACAATGTCAGGAGTGCGGAATGTTGATGAAGACTGAAGATCGACAGGTAAATTTAAAAGAAAATACAGTGGAACCGCGGGCTTAAAAAATTATATTAGGGTGGGGTAGAGTAGAGTAGGGTAGAGCAGAATGGGGAGCAGAAATGGCAATAACTTTCTTTACAAAATCTATAATGGCAAGAACTTTCTTTACAAAACATAAAATGGCAATAACTTTCTTTACAAAATCTATAATGGCAAGAACTTTCTTTACAAAACATAAAATGGCAAGAACTTTCTTTAAATTTCAAAACATAATTTTTCAATTCCAGATCCACGTTTACCGTCACCACCTCCGAAAGCAAGACCTATATCAATGTTTTTACTGCGAGTTCTCTCATCACGCTTGCTCATCCGATGTCAAAAGTCATATGAGGCATGTACACATGAAGCACGACGTAGCACCAAAGACGAACATTGACAAGTACGGCGAAGAGATTGACGAATGGAACGCTAAGTGTTTCAACGGCTGGATCAACCGACGACTACCATCGGCTGTCACTAAGGATTTCGAGAAGTGTCGGCTATGCCTAACTGAGATCCAGCAGACCTCAAGACACATTGCTGAAGTCCACATGAACATCCACCTACATCAATGCCCCTTATGCGACTATGGTGCGTCGGAAGCACGACTAGTACGACGCCACATTCGCAACTATCACGATGAGACCACGGAAGATCTGGAGCCCATAGCCAATGTGGTTCAACGAAGGGCCGAGTTCGCCGCTTTCCACGAGAAATGCTTCCCAGGCCGGCCCAAACGTCTCACCAATATTGTGATAAGCGAGGAAGGCCGTCGAACCAAATGCAAAGAGTGCGGCAAGACAATCAGTCGAAAACGACGTCTAGACCATCTATTGGAGTGCCATTTAAGGAAAAAGGTGTACAAGTGCTCTCAATGCTCATATGGATCGAATTTTGATAAAGGTCTAGTGGAACAACATGCTTCTGAACAACATAAAGACGCCTGCTTGGTGAATGAGGTCGACAAGTTCAAAGGGAAGATCGAGGAGTTGTCGAGGAAGTGCTTTAAGGACCAACAAATTAGCTTGGAGGGGTAGAGACGGTTGAAAAGTTAGTTGGGGGGGGGGAGTAAAAATGGAAAAAAAACGAACTAGTGGGGTAAAAAGGGTTTAAAAATTAGCTGGAGGGGCAAAACTGTGAGGGCTGGTGATTTTGGTTTAAAAACCGGTTAAAAAACCTTTTTTGATAAGGAAAACAGGTATTTTTGAATTGAAAAAAAATTTTGATAGTCGATTAAAATTTTTTCACTTTACTCCGTCCACCCTACCTGGCTAATGTATTTAAAAAAAATTGATGATTTTCAGTGTTTTGCCGGACCGGCCCGTTTCGCGGACGGTTCCGGACCGGACCCAAAAATTTTGAGTTTGGACCGGACCGGACCTGAAAATTTTGGGTTTGGACCAGACCAGACCCAAAAATTGCCGGACAGGTGAAAAACGTTCCGGACCGGTCCGGGCAAAACACTGATGATTTCCTTCTTTTCTGTTGATCTATTATATAATATTAGCTCCATTTTTATGGGTATTCTTTCCATTTTTTTAAATAAATTTTTAACTTTTGAACGTTTTTTCTCAAAAATTTCATATATGGAACTCCTTATAACGAAGCTCTTCTACAACGAACAATTTGATAAAAAGTCAAGCAATCCGTTACACAGGAATTCCATTGTAATTCACAAGTTACTATCATTTTTCATATGTAAAATGTTGTTACCTTGCATTTTAATTTAATACTGATATTCATTCTTTGTTTGAACCTTTAATTAAACATATTTTTAAAGATATATTGTTCAAAACTGTTGTTAATGTATTTGCTCACACATTTCTAACGTTATTTCTCTTCACTTGCCATATGATACACATTTCCATCTTGCCATTTCTTGTTAACTATCATGACATTTAGTTAGAATTTTTATCATTTTATTGTTGTGTTTAGATTATTTAAAACTTATAAATAAATTTTTAACTTTGTATCAGCTTGGAAAGAAAGTTATTGCCATTAAAAGGAATAGAAATTAGGTCACAATCATAACCAGAGCCCAAAAAATGAAGTTTCTGGCTTCAGCTCTGTCTCCGCCTTTTTTTCAATTTTTGCTCCGAAGCTGCTCTGGCGCCAAAGCAGGCACAGCACGGGATAGAGGGGACGGGGAGGTTTTATTATTGAAGTTTGAAATTTTTTAGTTCCGGCTGCAGGTTCAATACCGATTTTTATAAATTTTAGCCGCGGCTCTAGCTCCGGTTCCGCCCCATGTTAAATGTTAGCAGCGGCTTCAGCTCCGGAGCAGCTCTGGAGCTTTTAGTAATAGGATTCAACACTGTTTGGCTCCGGCTCGACAGTTTATTTTTATTTTAACTTTGGCATTAGCTCCAACACCAATTTGTTTTAAATTCTAACTCCGGTTCCAGCTCCAGCACCGTTATGAACTCTAGTCATAAAAGCATGATAACAAGCTTCTACTACAGTAATATTAAAGCTACAATCTTAGTAAACCACCTGAAACTTTTCAAAAATACAACAACAGACCATTGAGGTCGGACGTGCCAAAATACGAGCGAATGATTTGTTTAATCCCACACAACGTTTAACTGAAGCGATCAATCAATTACGCATGACAAGTGATAACGGTTGGTCGTTATTTCGCTAAAGTTATATTTATATTGCCCAGGCTATAAGTTATATTTATATAAGTTATGGCTATTTACAAATAGTATATTGTTTTACTTAAAAGTTTGATTTACCATCAATTTTTTGGCTTGCATTATGGTGGAACTACTGTATTTTTATTTTATTATGATAAATCATACCTAGAATTTAAATAAAAAACAAAGTACCTTACTATTTTCTACATAGGCAAAAAGATTACATTACTATGCAAATATTTGTACCAATAAACCAAACTACAGAGTATTGTGGAACGTATACTGCATGTCCATATGGGTTTGAGTGTCATGCTACTTTTGAGTAAGTTTTTATCAAATCTTGTAGAACGAACTCCTGTAGAACAACATTCTGTATAAAGAAATTCTCTATAACAACCTCCTCTATAACAAATTCTTGTACAAAAATCAGCTCTATAACAACCTCCTCCACATTTTAGTCTACCAAACGACCCCTTCATCTGTATCCCACCTCAATTTTCATCGATACAAAGTCTTGAATCAGCATTGAAATCTGCTATGTACTCCCAGATACCAACCTACGCATTACTTGTTACCACCAGTTTTTTAGCCGGTGTTTTATCCGTCGTGATACCTGTAATGCTTTGCACCAACTTACTCAAGCCAACATCATCGTTATCCCAAGCTTCGTCATCTATAAACTTACAAGCTGGTGATCATAGTCTACCTCATCCTCAATTTAGATGCCAACCTCAGCCTGGGCTTCAATCTCAAGGTAGATCCGAACCCCAATGTAGGAATTGCTCCACAAACAACTCAAGGGATGTAGCTACGAATCTATCAGTAAAACAGACTGACCCTACAACAATAGAAGACGTTATAGACACACAACCAGGCAGTAAGAGCCACGAGAATCTGCCAAGTTATATTCGAGCAGGGCCATCCTGGCGCAACATAGAAGCCATCGATTTGGACGATGCTGCTACATCACTTACACGAACAACCACATCATCAAACAACGCCATTCAGTACAGTCTTACTCTCAAATGGGCAAAGTAATATGAGTAAAATAGCTAAACAATGTATATCTATAATTATATTATACATAATATCTGCTAATTTTAAATGTAAAATAAACGTCAAAACGTATACAAACTATAGTTCACAACTCCTAGATAGACAATATTAGCAATATTTATTAATTATTAAAGTATTAAAACTATGATATTTCAAAATAATTAGTAGATAAATGATGAGTATATATGCTGTCAAGTGTCAACGTCCCTGGTATGTAACCATCTAGGAATAGAAGTAATCAATATAAAACTCTTACTGAACTAGATCTGGAAGGAGGCCCACTAGGTCCAGCACCGGGTTAAGACAAAGTAAAAGGGCCGGCACATGCCCAACAGACGGGGAATCAAGGCCCCAGAGCATCAGTTTAGGTCCCGCAACGAAAGATTTCACTTCCAAAAGTTTAAATTGACACTCCGCTCCACAATACCATAAACCCCTTCCTAACACAAAAAAAAACTTACATTTTTAACATCGCAGTAAACTCTGTCGAAGATCTGTTTATCCTCGAACTGTACCTCCACGAAGTTTCTTTCGCCTCTCTTGCCCTCGTGAGTAAAAATCAACTTCATTGTCCTGGCATCTTTCCTCAGGCCACTCCATAAACGCCTGTCACAATACGCACGATAGACTTCTTTTGAATCACTGTAGAAGCGCAAAATTGTTTTTCTCCGTTCATCCAGGACACCAGACAACAGAACTTGCTTGCATAATACCTAAAAAAGGATGTCAATAGTAAAAACCCAAACTAAAACTATAAGTACACTAGCCTAATATAAATTATAAAGTAAATCGTTCTCAAAAACCCTAAACAACATCACAAAACCAAAGACAACTTCAACTATAATACTAACTCACCCTTTTCGAAGAAGCTACGTGTGTCACCGTGAGATAAACCTTCTTGTCCTTGAAGAACTTGGCATCTTGAGTCAAAGCTGTGGAAAGGCGTTCTTTCCTCATCTGCTTCAGTAGATCTTGATTGACACACTTCTCCATCTTTTGGTACCTCAATTCCTCCATCAACTGGCGATTGAGCTCGAAAACCGCGTCTGACGGTGATGAAAATTCCTGATATAGTAAAAAATTGTTATTTTTTTTATAAATCTAAAACCATTACATACCTGATCCTACCATAAAATACTACCTCTACTCTATAGTACCATAAAATTATTGCTCATGAAGAAACATCGGCAAAGCCCAGGAGGAAATACAGACAAAAACCTTATTTAATCTTAAGAAACCTTACTTTTGAAGCGTTAAAAGAAGAATTCGCCCCCAAAGACTGATTGAAACTAAACTGATCCAAACTATTCGTCGACAACTCAACACGGTCGAGTTCTGAATCTGTCTCACGCTCCTTGAGGTTCTTAAACATCTAAAATAAAACAGTTAAATTATATTTAAAACAAAAGTTTATGTAATTTTAGATAAACAAAGCAATGACGAAGGATAACATGCCGTTTCACATCAGCAGGAAATCAAGTCTGTACAGCTACATTTTTCTAAATTTTACAAAAATACAACTCAAAATCAACCTACCGGTCGTTTTAAAACCGAAGGACCTTTCAACCATGAGTGAGTATAGTCACGCGAACATGTTGCTGTAGCCACGACAGCTTCGTAATCCATGGTCTCGTCGCAATCGTCAGAATTCACTAATTTCTAAAAAAATCTCAAATTAAAATATTTAAAACTTTTTTGAATCCATATCAGCATCAACACCGAACATATTCTTGTTCTCAAACACATTTTTGACCTAAACATCGAAAAATATAATTAACTTACTTGACCACGGAAGTTTGAGGCAGCATTTCCAAGATTCCCGCTGACAATATCTGATCGATTAAAGATAGGATCAACGATAATGTCAATATTCTCCATTTCCAGAGTAGCGTCAAGGTCCTCGAGGTTAATAACCTCCTAAAAAAATAAAAAATTACAAATAATGACTTAATTTTAGGTATAAACAACAACTTTTGTTCACAAAAGCTAAATAAACCAAATTTTAAAAACTGTTTACGTTTTAACAATAATACCTAGTAAAATAATTAACTTTTAAACATAAAATCATTAAGATTCATCTTTGAATCCACGCCCATCAACAAAAAAAACGTTTTGCAGCCAGGATAATATAAGATTTAGTCTTTTTCCCTCCCAAATATTCAATAAAACTAAGGATTTCTGATCTACAAGACTTTTAGTACTAGTAATATCCATATTATACAAAGCACCAGGGTAAATCAAGTTTCTCAACATATTCACCAGTCAAACAACATTGCACTCAAAAAACACCTAAAATTCAGATAAAAAAAGTAAAAACTTACGTTAAAGTCCATTATCTCGTTTAACACTTGAAGAACTTTAAAAACTATTAAAATAGTACAAAATAGTCGAAAACTTGATTACATTTACTGGAACTTGAAAACAACGAGCCGTTGTTTGTATAATTTCGTCGAGAAATGGTCAAGTCTCGCGCTTCGGCCGAAAAGTGCCAAGTCTTTCTTGCGGAATTCTAGAAAAAACATCAGCGTGATGTGTTTTAATAATTTAAATGTCTAGAATTGTCAAGTATGCCAATATCTATTTATTATAGGTCTATTTTGCAACAAAATATCTGCAACAACAATAATATTAACTTATATACTGATTTACATATCTGTTTCTCAAATTTTTATATCTGAAACACTATACTTGACGATGAACTGTATTTACAATGAATCTTGTTGACTTTTCTTGATTATTACCCTTTTCCGAACTATTGTATACATTAAAATAGATGAGAAAACATTTAATTTTAGAGGATTCTTTGTTTATCTTAATATTAGAAGAAGTAGGTAACAATTTGGTAGTTGCCGCCTTTTACCGGTCGAATTATAATAAAATAACTAGAGTAGAATCAGAAAGACCTCCTAAACGTATTCTATTGCATTTTTACGTTATTTACGCTTTAATATTAACATAATATTAACCATGCTTTCAGAAGGCAAGTGAATATCGTCGATCGGCGGTGGTTTGTTGTGGCGTGCCAGGCTGGGCTCCATTCTTTCGTAACGAGCTTTGCGATGTCCCTGCTGTCGTTGTGGATGTGGCCTGCATACTGGAGCGGCGTGATAGGATCACAAACTTCTTGTTCAATATGTTGAGGAGGCGTCGGCGGAAAGCGGCCGAACTCAAGCAAAACAGGACAAAGTTGAGGGTTTTGCCGATGATAACAAGGAAGCCGGTGAAGGTGGAGATGTTGTACCAAGTGATGTTGGAGTTGACGTATGGTGGACGATGGCCAGAGAGGAATGATAGCGACATTACAATGGCTGAGGGGCCCTGGAAGGTAATATTTATGTATTTTTTTGTTATTTTAGGGATAAAAATTGAAAAAGTGGTTGAAGATCAAGCTTACTAATAGAAAGGGCATCCTTAAAAAAATATTTTCATAACATCTCACCTGTGTTATAGTAAAACAAGTAACAATGGCACAAACAGTCACTGTAACCCGATGTTCAGCATGAAATTGAGCCGTCTGATCAATGCTTCTCCTAAACAACATGGACGTAACATACGACCCCATGTCTTCACTGTCTCGTTTCGCTGTCACAATGCTTGGCAGACTCGATTTGTGTCTTGGATGCATATTAACCGAGTCTTTGTGATGTTGTTCAACCATCAGTCGATTGTACATTAGGAACGATTGTCGCCGTACCACCACTAACAGTGCACAATTAAGCCCTAACATCACGATGATGGGTAGGATGATGACGAAGGCGACGTTGAGTATGATACTCCATTGTACGTAGGCGCGGAGGGCGGGCGGGGTAAAGTTTGTTCGATTACCGGGCCAGCTAAAATGACATTTTTTAATAGAAAAATAGTCAAAAAAAAAGTCATTTTATGCCATTTCAAGCCGGCTAGCTCAAGTTTTGTTACCTAAAAACCAATTTTAGGCCAAGTACTACCTAAAACACTATTTTAAAAATCAAGTTCTACAAACTTTTTGACCGGCCATACTAACTTACTCTTCCTGAACAATATCAAAGCATTTACTGATGACTTGAGTGCCATTACAAAGCTCTTTTACCACGCAATGATACGAAAAGTGATTGTAGAAGGTCAATACTCCCGTCGCCAATATTATAGTACTGATGAGGCGTGCTGTCGTGCACGGTGACCATTGCGAATTGGCACGGAGTAGAGATCGGATTCCTAGTAGACGTTCTGCACATATTGCTATTACTAGCCTGAAAAGGTAGAGGTTATATGCTAGGTAATGACTACTGTAAATTGAGGTTAGGCTTGATATAGTCTACCCCTACGCCTATCTTTACGTTTACCGATCTCCCTACAGTACCAAATAAACCATTATTAAGGTGTTCAAATAATTATGTGCACCTTATTGAGTTTTTCAAATAATTCTGTGCCTCTCTATTCAAAGCATTTTTTTGAGATTATGAAGCACAGAATTATTTGAACAACCTAAACCATCCCAGACAAAATTCTCAAAGCAGTACCATATAGTGACGGCGGAGCACCAATTGGCCATAGAGATGAGGTGTGTTTTGAAAGAAAAGTAAAATACTCGAAATGTGTGATTCAGTCCGAATCGATCAAAGTTCGCCATGGAATGTGGTATCATGAGTATGAGGAATAAAATGTCACATAGTGCTAGGGCTACTAGTAAGCCGTTGGACCTAAAATTTTTAAAAAAATAGCAATAACTTTCTTTAAAAAACATAAAATGGCAACAACTTTCTTTACAAAACTTAAAATTGCAAGAAATTTCTTTACAAAGCAAAACACGACAAGAATATTCCATACAAACAGCTAAAAATTTAAAATAAGCACTGTCATACCTATGATTTGTAGTCCTCCGTGATCTTATCTCTCCACTTAATAGTACTGTCAAGTTGAGTAGATTGCCAATGATGCCTATAGCACATAAAGGTGGGAATATTGAAGTGAAAAATAGGTTTTCCAACTCTGAGCCCTGTAAAATGAGGTTATTTAATCACTGTCCAACCGACAAGGTAAAGGTGAAAGTATGGGTAGAGTAGGCAAGGGTAGGACAGATTACTAAAACCTGGGAAGAGCAGAACAAGACAGGGCAAGGCACGGCTGAGCACGGTAGAGTAGAGTAGAGTAGGGTAGCGTAGGGTAGGGTAGGGCAGGGTAGGATAGGGCAGGGTAGGGTAGGGTAGAGAACACAATTTCAAAAATTGAAATAAACTTTTTTTTTATTTTCAATACTGAATCCGTATTTTACCTCCAATTTGAGCATTCTCTCAGGTATACAAACGTCCATAGCGTCAAACGAAGATGAAGGTGAATCTTCTTTCGAGTCTTCCATTCGATAAGCCAAGAAACGTGGATCTGTTTTGTTCATTATTTATCTAAAATTTTAAAATTTATATCCGAAATCCCAAAATTACCAAATTTATATTGTTCATAAGTTAAAACGATTGATGAGCGTATTTTACAAAAATAAAAATATAATAAAATGATTGCACCGTGCAATAAAAATCAGATTTAAAAAAACGATGCAACAAATAGTTATTAGACTTTGTAAGGAAAGTTCTTGCCATTTCATGTTTTGTAAAGAAAGCTCTTGCCATTTTAAGTTATGTAAACAAAGTTCTTGCCATTTCATGTTTTGTAAAGAAAGTTCTTGCCATTTTAAGTTTTGTAAATAAAGTTCCTGCCATTTTTTAAGTTGCAAAGACGGTTTTTGCCATTTTACAAAAAACTCGAAATTTAAAAAAATTCAAACCATTTCCTGTTCTAACCCTACACGAACCATTTAGAGCCCTCGGAATGACCTCAAAAGAAAACAAATTGTAAAAATAATAATAGTAGTAAGGCCATTAAGGCGGGGGAATAAACAAACATTGGTTTATCAAAAAACGCCTTTGGCGATTTTATTGCAAGACTTCCATTTTGGAAAACAAATATTAAGGGTCACTTTTTTAAATGACCTGATGAACTTGTTATCTCAATAGTATTTGATAAGGCATAGTAGGGTGGGCAGTGTAATAGTTAAGGTAGGTATAAGTAGGCGGATTAGACCTGGCTTTCAAGCCGGTCCAGGCCGTTATAATCTTTCTACGACCCTGCCCACAGCACAAGTCAGGCCGGTCCGGCCTGAACGCCTGGCCTAAAGGTGATCCGATTGGATTAAAGTAGGGCTTGGTATAACTAGGGGATGACTAGGGCTACTGTCGGGTTACGGTGATGGGTACAATATGAATTGGATTACGATAGAAATGGATACTGTAAGATAGGGTAGGGTACAACAGGTTAGGGTAGGACAAGGCAGGGCACGGCAACGCACGACATGGCGAAGTAGGACAGAGTAGGGTAGCGTAAAGTAAGGCACACCAAGGCAAGTCAAGGAAAGGCAAGGCAAGGCAAGTCAAGGCAAAGCAAGGTAAGACAACGCAAGGCAAAGCAATGCAGGGTAGGGTAGGTTAAGGTAATGTAGGACAAAGTAAAGCAAGATAGACCAAAGTAGACTAAAATAACCTATTTCATAAGATTTTCAGATTGAGTTTGGTTAAAAAAACAAATTTTCTCTTAAATTTCAAGTAATCACAAGCCCCTAACTACGGTAAAACAAAAATGTTATTACCCTTTTTCTGGAGAATCCACGTGCGCTGAAAAGCAATAACACTTACACGAATAAACTTTTTGTTGCGTGCGTAACTCAATTTACACCGCCTAAAGTAGTACTATTTTTAAAAGGATGTAAACATAAAAAAATGCAAAAACTTTCTTTACAAACCGTAGAATAGCAAGAACTTTGTTTACAAAACAAAAAATGGCAAGAACTTTCTTCACAAAACATAAAATGACATTTGTCGTATAACTTGTCACCTGCAGGCTGCAGAATGTTAATTTTTGGCCATTTAAAAAAGAATAGCAAGAACTTTCTTTAAAAAACATAAAATTGCAAGAACTTTCTTTACAAAACATAAAATAGCAAAAACTTTCTTTACAAAACATAAAATGGCAAGAACTTTCTTTCCAAAAAGAAAAAAATAGCATGCATCATATAACATGTCACAAGCAAAAAGTCAATTTTTTGATTATATAAGAAAAAATGACAAAAACTTTCTTTACAAACCCAAATATCCGAAAAATTTTAAAATGCCAAAAATATCAAAAAACGTCACAAAATCAAAGGATGTCATCAACACTGTGACATCGTTCCGTTTGCATCACCAAATGTGTAAATACGATTTGAAAACGATATATTGTTATTTACAGCTGTTTGCATTCCGTTTCCAACATTTCAGACACTCTCTCACATTCCTACACTATTTTCTTCTTTTCTAGCGGCGTTATTTAATTTATATTGGAAAACGACGTTTTTTTTTGCAATTTGAACCGAGAAGTCATAGTCAATGTAACCTTGTTTGGGTACATGACTTTTGAAAACAGACTTTTAGTTACAGTTGAACAAAGTGTCATACGTAAATAAAAAACGAAGTTTGGAAAAAACGTTAATAAAGAGAAAGTTCTTGCCATTTTTTGTTTTGTAAAGAAAGTTCTTGCTATTTTTTGTGTTGTAAAGAAAGTTCTTGCCATTTCTTCAAAAAAGCCAATTTTGTTACTTTGCAGTCTGCGGGTGACAAGTTATACGATAAATGTCATTTTATGCTTTGTAAAGAAAGTTTTTGCCATTTCTTTACACAATGAACAAAATTTGATTTCTGCAGCCTGCATGCGACGAGTTGTACGATGAGTTACGTTTTAGGTTTTGTAAAGAAAGTTTATGGTATTTTACACTTGAAAAATGCAAAAAAATTTTATTTTTATTCTTTTTAATTTCAAAACACGCAAAAAACTTTAAAAGTTCAAATAAAAAAACCCAAAAATAGTTCTACATCTTAAACTCTGTTAACCTCCCCCCCCCTTTTTTTTCTAAAAAAGTGCAAAGTCGCGCTAATCTGAAAAACAACCCTCCACTAGCCTCCTTCTCCCTCCCCTACCCTTTTTGCCTAGAGCCCCCCCCTCTCCTATTAGCTACAGACTCCCCCACCCATTTGGCCTACAGATTAGAGAATAAGTCAACACAACTTGTTTGACCTTTGTCCCCAACAGACCATTAATGCAATTTTGATTTGATGACAGTGACATTCAAACTACTACAGCGTTTTCTTTTATTGACAGCAGAGAACGGCGTGGCACGGTGGAACGTCAATTATAAAAAAAGTTTTTGAATTCACTGTCGGTTTGCATAGGAAAGTGTAATTGGCGTTGCAAAGTGCATTTTTTGCAAATTTAAGCTTTGTAAAGAAAGTTCTTGCCATTTTATGTTTTGTAAAGAAAGTTCTTGTCATTTTAAAATTTGTAAAGAAGGTTTTTGCAATTTTTGAATTTGTAAAGAAAGTTCTTGCAATTATGTGTTTTGTAAAGAAAGTTCTTGCCATTTTATATTTTGTAAAGAAAGTTCTTGCCATTTTATATTTTGTAAAGAAAGTTCTTGCAATTTTATGTTTTGTAAAGAAAGTTCTTACCATTTTATGTTTTGAAAAGAAAGTTCTTGCCGTTTTGCACTAATCCAAGAACGCCTGGGCCGTTTCAAAAAAAAAGAATTTTCAAGCTTTGTAAAGAAAGTTCTTGCACGAATTATTGATAATATTTATAATTAAGCCCCATAAATAGCCTAACGACAATCACACACAAATGCAAAAGTTTAAAATAAGAAAAGCCATCACGTGCTCTAAAGTTGTAAATACTCATCTATGAGCACCTACCATCTACTCCAGTAAGGAATGCCCTTTCCTTAACAAGCTTTCTAAATAAACATTTCACTGCCATTTCAAATTTACTTAACCATGTCTTTCTAATCTTTAAAACCTAAAAAAACTAGGTTCAGTTTGACAATGTAGACGCACATTTCATCAGAAAAAGGTAAGGGGTTCAGTAAGTTACAGTAACCGTAGGTAAGATAGGTGAAAATAACAGTAAAATTTGCTAATGATAATTACTACGGTAAGCTAGAAAAAACGTATGGCTAAAATAAAAAAAGTAGGTCTACGGCTAAGGCTAAAACCAGGATTAAGGCTAGCTCTTGGAAATAAGGCTCTAGGCTAGGGTTCTGGGCTAGGGCTCTAGACTAGGGCTATGGCTCTGGGTTAAGGCTCTGGGCTAGGGCTCTAGACTAGGGCTCTGGGCTATGGCTCTTAACTAAGGCTAGGGCTCTGAGCTAGGACTCTGGACTAAGGCTTTGGGCTCTGAGCTAGAACTCGACTAGGGTTCAGGGCTAGGGCTCTGGGTTATGGCTCTTAACTAAGGCTAAGGCTCTGGGCTAGGGCTCTGGGCTAGGGCTCTGGGCTCTGAGCTAGAACTCGACTAGGGTTCAGGGCTAGGGCTCTGGGTTATGGCTCTTAACTAAGGCTAAGGCTCTGGGCTAGGGCTCTGGGCTAGGGCTCTGGGCTAAGGCTCTGGGCTATGGCTCTTAACTAAGGCTAGGGCTCTGAGCTAGGACTCTGGACTAAGGCTAAGGCTCTGGGCTAGGGCTCTGGGCTAGGGCTCTGGGCTAGGGCTCTGGGCTAGGGCTCTGGGCTCTGGGCTCTGGGCTAGGGCTCTGGGCTCTGGGCTAGGGCTCTGGGCTAGGTCTCAAGGCTAGGGCTCCGAAAATTTAAAAGTTTTGTGTAAAAGTCCGTATAACCTATTCATTTCCAGATCCCCCACTTTTCTCTCTTACCTTCTACCCCGCTCTTCACTACAGTAGAACCCGGCCTTGCCTCAAACCTAAACAGCTTCCGCTATACTTTGTAAGCTAATCTATCTTTTTTTACCTTACCCTACATCATCTTAACTTACAACTACTTCATAACCTCTACTCTATCGTCAAAACTTCATTTCCCCAAAATCTACTTTCCAAATCCAAATGAACACACTACTAATGTCCACTTGGAAGGGCATTCAAAAAGTAAAGCAGATTTCCGCCATGCCCTGAGGGTCATAAATTTACGAGAACGCAAACATTCCAAATGCTATTAAAATGTTCGTTCGACATGAAGTGGACATTCACTGTAGTTGTCTTGGGGATTCGCACGAGTAGCGTTTACTTAAACCGTCCGCAGGCCAATAATTACATTTCGTAAAAAGTTGCGTTCAAAATTAATTAGGATGTATATAGTTACAAATTGGGCGAAAAAAGGTTTATCCAAAAATAGTCGACTCCTACGCTAAGTTATATTATATAAAGTGATGACAATAAAAAACATAACGAACGCACTTTATAAAAAATTGGGTTTAAAGCTTTTTACTTTACTGCCTCTTAAAATTCTATTCTTTATCCAAAGCCCTAACTCAAAGCCCCAGCTCAGAGCCCTAGCC